CTGGTTTGAGTCCCAGATGTTCCACTTCTGATCCAGCTCTCTGCTATGGCTTGGGAAAGTGGTGAAAGATGGCCCAAGTGCTTGGGCCCCTGCACCCATGTGGGAGAACAAGAAGAAGCTCCTGGCTTTGGATCGGCTCAGTACCTGCTGTTTTGGCCATTTGGGATGTGGTGCTCTCTGCCTCTGCCTCTCTGTAACTCTACCTTTCAAATAAATTAATTAAATAAAAGATTTATCCATTTATTTGATAGACAGTGTTAGAGTGATCTTCCATTCGCTGGGTCACTCCCCAAATGGATGCAACAGCCAGGGCTGGGCCAGACCAAAGCCAGGAGCCAGGAGCTTCATCTGAGTCTCCCTTGTGGGTGGCAGGGGCCCAAGCACTTGGACCCTTCCTCTGCTGCTTTCCCAGGCACATTAGCAGGGAGCTGGGTTGGAAGTGGAGCAGCTGGAACTCGAACCAGCACACATATGGGATGCTGGCACTGCAGGTGATAGCTTAACTTCCTATGAAACAGCACTGCTCCCACCTCTTTTTTTTTCTTTTAAAGAATTATCCATTTATTTGAAAGTCAGTTAGAAAGAGGGAAGGAGGGGCCGGGGCCGCGGCTCAATAGGCTAATCCTCCACCTAGTGGCGCCGGCACACCGGGTTCTAGTCCCTGGTCGGGGCACCAGATTCTGTCCCGGTTGCCCCTCTTCCAGGCCAGCTCTCTGCTGTGGCCAGGGAGTGCAGTGGAGGATGGCCCAAGTGCTTGGGCCCTGCACCCCATGGGAGACCAGGAGAAGCATCTGGCTCCTGCCTTCGGATCAGCGCGGTGCGCCAGCTGCGGCGGCCATTGGAGGGTGAACCAACGGCAAAAGGAAGACCTTTCTCTCTGTCTCTCTCTCTCACTATCCACTCTGCCTGTCAAAAAAAAAAGGGGGGGAGGGGTGGGTGGGTGGGGAGGAGAAAGTAAAGTAGGTAGGTTAGATTTTGTAGAAAAGTTTGGAGCTTAGACTTCAGCCTTAGACTGAATTCTGCATAGGTTAAAAACAGGTATCAGTCATGATTCCTGCCAGTTAATGGTTTTTAACCATATTGTGCAAAGATGAAATTAATTTTAATGCAGTAGTAACTATTTGTATTTCCATGTGTTGAGAAAGTCCAAAGTTAAAATCTCATAAAAAGTGATTTTTTGAAAAGTAGATAGAATTTCTTTCCTTTGATGGAACCATTGTGACTAAATGTTTCCAAACTTTGGTTGTTAACCAGTTTTATATGCCATTTTAACATATTTTTATTTGAGCTTTTATTGAGATGTAATAAAATATGCCCAAACACGTGCCACCACCACAATCAAGATGTGGAACATTTCCATTACCTCCTAAATTTTCCTTGGTCCCCTTCTCAGTGAATTCCTTCCCCACTTCTTCCCTGATTACTGATCTGCTCTGTTACCATAGATAAATCTTTTCAAGAATTTCATATGAATAGAAGCAAACAGTATATATTCTTTTGTTTCTGGTTCCTTTTACTCAGCAACATGTTTTTGAGATATATCCATGTTGTAGGATATTTCTTTATTTTGTTACTTTTTATTTCTGGGTATTTTTCCATCATATGGCTATACAACAGTTTGTTTATACATTCAGTATGAGTTTTTTTTTTTTTTTTTTTTTTGACAGGCAGAGTGGACAGTGAGAGAGAGAGAGAAAGGTCTTCCTTTTGCCGTTGGTTCACCCTCCAATGGCCGCCGCAGCTGGCGCGCTGCAGCCGGCGCACCGCGCTGATCCGAAGCCAGGAGCCAGGTACTTATCCTGGTCTCCCGTGGGGTGCAGGGCCCAAGCACTTGGGTCATCCTCCACTGCCTTCCCTGGCCACAGCAGAGAGCTGGCCTGGAAGAGGGGCAACTGGGACAGAATCCGGTGCCCCAACCGGGCCTAGAACCCGGTGTGCCGGCGCTGCAAGGTGGAGGATTAGCCTAGTGAGCCGCAGCACCGGCCTTGAGGTTTGTTTTTAAACTTGTCAGGAACACCTAGCTGCTAATTTATTTTTTGGTGAGTTGATTATTAAGTAATCTGATTGAGAGACACTAGTAATCTTAAACTCTAAATTTATAATACTGTAAGCACTCTGACCTCAGAATCAACCCTTAAGGCTTCCTGGTCTGGTTGAAAGGCCTGTGAGAGCATTCCAGGCATGGAAAGCCAAGATACTGTGGCAAAAGGATCTCTGTGAGTGAGACACCAGTGGAAAGAATGGACCATCAAAGAAGGATGTACCTTTCTCTGAAGGGAAGAGAGAACTTCCACTTTGCTTATGGCCTTGTCCAAATACTGATGGATTCTGTGGTCATAAAAGGTTTCCATAACCTTGACAGCTTATGCCAAGAGCCCTGGGTGATCACTGAAGTCATAAATAAGAGTGTTAATTGTTGGCCGGCGCTGTGGCTCAATAGGCTAATCCTTTGCTTTGCGGCGCTGGCACACCGGGTTCTAGTCCCGGTCAGGGCGCCAGATTCTGTCCCGGTTGCCCCTCTTCCAGGCCAGCTCTCTGCTGTGGCCAGGGAGTGCAGTGGAGGATGGCCCAAGTGCTTGGGCCCTGCACCCCATGGGAGACCAGGAAAAGCACCTGGCTCCTGGCTTCGGATCAGCGCGATATGCTGGCCGCAGTGCACCGGCCGCGGCGGCCATTGGAGGGTGAACCAACGGCAAAAGGAAGACCTTTCTCTCTCTCTCTCTCTCTCTCTCACTATCCACTCTGCCTGTCAAAAAAAAAAAAAAAGTGTTAATTGTTAAAAGAACAGCAGAAGTCACTATATACTTACTCCCCCTGTAGGACCTCTGTCTTCAATGAGTTATACTATGAGAATTAACCGCAAAACTTGTTCTCAAACTGTACTTTATATGTTGTGTGTGGGTGCAAACTGTTGAAATCTTTACTTAGCATAGAGTTGGTAGAGTTGGTCCTCCGTATATAAAGTTAAACTAAAAATGAACTATAATGAAGAATGGAATGGGAGAGAGAGTAGGGGGTGGGATGGGAGTAGGGGTGGGAGGACGGGTATGGAGGAAGGAACCACTATATTCCTATATATAGTTGTACCTGTGAAATATGCATTCATTAAATAAAAGCTTTAAAAATAAATTTATAATATTGTAAAAACTGATTTTGAAGAGGTAAACCTCTTCACTGGCTACATAATGGTCATTAGACTCCTCCTCTGATACAGGTGTTAAAATATTTTTGACTTTCAGTTGCACAAAATATTCTTTTGTATCTTCTTTGAAATGTTAAGCTTAAGAATGCTGATTCTGGGATAAATTTAAATGTTCTGATAGACTGTGAATATCATGAAATAAAATGAGTGCAGATACTCTCACTTTTAGTAGTTACCAACTCAGACTAAGAATTTGGGTTTTAACTATGTTTAGTAATTTCAAATTTTAGTGTTTTGCAAAACAATTTTTATGTAATTTAATTGTGTGTGTTTCCTGCTTCTTACATGCCATTGCTATAGCTTGTGGCAATCTTCGAAAAAGTAGTAATATTTTCTTTGGGAATTGTGTTTCATTTCAATTATCAATTGAACAAACTATATTGTACCATAGTTTATAATGGGCTTTTTTTTTTTTTTTTGAAGATTGATTTATTTATTTGAAAGTCAGTTACACAGAGGAGAGGGAGAGAGAAAGAGGTCTTCCATCCCCAGATGGCCATAATGGCCAGATCTGTGCTGATCTGAAGTCAGGAGCCAGGAGCTTCTTCCAGGTCTCCCACACAGGTGCAGGGTCCCAAGGACTTGTGCCATCTTGTATTGCTTTCCCAGGCCGTAGCACAGAGCTGCATCGGAAGGGGAGCAGCTGGGACTAGAACCAGCACCCAAAGGGGATGCCGGTGCATCAGGCCAGGGTGTTAACCTGTTGCGCCACAGTAACAGGTTTATAATGGGTTTTTATATTTTTTTAGAACTGCAAAGATTCCTGCTATATCTTCTAATTGGCACATAAACTTTTTATGGAAACTAACGGCCTTACATTATATAATATCATCTTATTTTTTCATATCTAAAATATGTTTTAACTTCAGCAGCTATTCTGTTGCATGTCATTTTTATGTAAAACATACATAAATTTTTCTAAATATAGTTCAGTTTTTAAAAGCATAGGGCTCTGGATTTGGTGACCTGAATTTGAATTCCCACCTTACCATTTCTAAGCTGTGAAACTTGGAACAAGTCAGTTTCATCTCTTAAAAAATCAGTTCCCCATCTGTAAAATGGGGATGATAATAATTCTTGTACCAATTTAGGAGGTAATTTACAGAGTAATTAACACAACGACTGGACCAAATGTGGATTTGAATGAATGAATGCCTATTCTCTAGTGTACATCTTACAATGAATTTTTAAAAATTTGATTTGTTGTCAAGTTGGGATTTTTTCCCCTAAATCCCGGATGATTGGGGCAGTTACTTCCTGAACATGGCTTTAATTTATCAAATACTGTTAGATAGTGACTATTTAATGACAATGATAAAAGGCAATTTGACAGGTAGAGATATAGACAGAGAGAGAGAGAGAGAGAGAGAGAGAGAGAAAGGTCTTCCTTCCGCTGGTTCACCCCCCAAATGGCTGCTGCAGCCAGCGCTGCACCGATCTGAAGCCAGGAGCCAGGTGCTTCTTCCTGGTCTCTGTACGGGTGCAGGAGCACAAGCACTTGGACCATCCTCCATTGCCTTCCCAGGCCACAGCAGAGAGCTGGACTGGAAGAGGAGCAATCGGGACTAGAACCCGGAGCCCATATGGGATGCCGGTGCCGCAGGGGGAGGATTAACCAAGTGAGCCACGGCGCCGGGCCCTAAAGGCAATCTTAAGATTCTGTACCATTCGGTTTTGTTAGTATACAAATTTGGATGCTACCCAGTGTTATTGGGTACGGTGGGCAGGGAGGAGGGCCTAGCAGGATTTCAGTTCTATGTCATTATTCTGTATTCCTAAAAAGAAATCTATTATTTAGTCCCTGAACAACAGCTGCTTGATATTGAAGATTGTGACCTCAATGTGGTGAGACTGTGTTTCCAAGTTTTCCTCCCTGATGAACATGGTAATTTGACAACTGCTCTCCCTCCTGTTGTATCTAACCCAATTTATGATAATCGTAAGTACTTTATTTTCTTGCATATGTAGTCTTAGCTTATTTTTTTAAGTAGCTTAACTAAGTATTTTGGTCATTGGAAAAAGAATATGTTCATTGTAGGAAAAATCCAAATACTGCCGAAATACCTAACAGAATAAATTTCCTATAACCTGTCCTCCAAAGATAATCACTATCCTCAGGTGCATACTTTACCAGTTTCTTCTTTCTGTGTATACAGATGTGTTAGCAGCAGTATCCACACAGTGTAATTTTGGCAACTTTAAAAAAATCATAGCCAATTTTTATTAAACACTTTGCTCAATGATGTATCATGAGCCTCTTTTCCTTCCAGTCAGCTTAGTATTTTCATAGCTGCTTATTTCATTATATGGCTATGTCATAATTTTATTAAATTGTTACCTTGTTATGCAACTTTTAGTTTTCATTTTTGGCTTAAAAATTGTATTGTGATCAGTATCCTTGTAGGTGCTTATGTTATGGAGGTATTTCTCTAGCATACATTTCTTTTTTTTTTTTTTAAGGTTTATTTATTTGAAAGTCAGAGTTACACAGAGAGAGGAGAGGCAGAGAGAGAGAGAGAGAGAGAGAGAGAGAGGGAGAGAGAGAGAGAGAGTGAGAAAGTGAGAGAGGTCTTCCATCCACTGGTTCACTCTCCAACCGGCCGCATCGGCCAGAGCTGCGCCCATCCAGAGCCAGGAGCCAGGAGCCTCCTCCAGGTCCCCCACGTGGGTGCCGGGGCCCAAGGACTTGGGCCGTCCTCTACTGCTTTCCCAGGCCAAAGCAGAGAGCTAGATTAGAAGTGGAGCAGCCGGGTCTCAAACTGGCATCCATATGGGATGCCGGCGCTTCAGGCCAAGGCATTAACCCGCTGTACCACAGCGCCAGCCCCATCTCTAGCATACATTTCTAGAAGTAGAGTTCTTGGAAATGCTAGATCAAAAGGTAGATATATTTATCATTGTAAAGCTGCTCTACAAAGTATTTCATCCCTGTACATGTACTCATTGTGTGTACCTTCACCTGTTTCGCGTTTAAAAAGATAATGGGACATAGGGCTATAAAGACAGAACCATGAATGCCAGGGAAAATTAATAAAATCATGTTGGCCAGATAATAAAAAGCATGAAAATCATATTGTCTTAGGGATATGGTCATGATTTAAGATGAATCTGGCTTCAGTATGTAGGATGCATTAGAAGAATCAGGATTTAGCAGCAAGGAGTACTTATCATTTCCTAGAAATAACATCATAAAGCTCTAAACCAAGTTAGGTGAAGCAGTTAGAAAAGAAAGGGACAGATGTGGATGATTAATGTGTTTAGTATCTTTTATTTGTATGCTGAAACATTCTTTAAATAGTTTTCCTCAAGTCCTCCCCTTCAAAAAGAAATATTTTACCAAGGTAGAAACTCGTATTTTAAAAATTGTTTCTTTGTAGGTGCTCCAAATACTGCAGAATTAAGGATTTGTCGTGTAAACAAGAACTGCGGAAGTGTAAGAGGAGGAGATGAAATATTTCTACTTTGTGACAAAGTTCAAAAAGGTACTTCATTTTTGTATTTTGGTTCATTAAATTCAGAATGTTTTTAGATTAATAGATGGATTTTATTTTGTTTTCCCTTTGTTATTTCTTTGGTTTCTTATTTACTAGATGACATAGAAGTTCGTTTTGTATTGAATGATTGGGAAGCAAAAGGCATCTTTTCACAAGCTGATGTACACCGTCAAGTAGCCATTGTTTTCAAAACTCCACCATATTGCAAAGCTATCACAGAACCAGTAACGGTAAAAATGCAGCTTCGGAGACCTTCTGACCAGGAAGTTAGTGAATCTATGGATTTTAGATATCTGCCAGATGAAAAAGGTATGACATTTTGGTGGCCCATAATCCTTGGGCCCCTGCACCCACGTGGGAGACCTGGAAGAAGCTCCTGGCTCCTGGCTTTTGGATGGGCCTGGCTCCGGCCATTGCAGCCATTTGGGGAGTATGCCAGCGGATGGAAGACCTTTCTTTCTGCCTCTCCCTCTCTCTGTCTATAACTCTGCCTCTCAAAACAATCTTTAAAACATTTCTTAATTTATTTGAATGAAAGAAAGCTCCCAACTGCTGGTTCACTCTTCAGATGCTCAGAATGGTTGGGGCAGGGCTGGGGTCTAGGCCGAACCAGGAACTCAATCTGGGTCTCCCACATGGGAAGGGACCCAATTATGTGAGCCCCCATTTCTGCCTCCCAGTGTCTGTATTAACAACTAGGAGTCAGGAGCTAGAGCCAGGAAACCGATCAAACCCAGGCACTCCAACGTGGGATGCGAGCATCTTTAACTGCTAGGCTAAACACCTGCCCCCTTTCCATGAACTCTTTGAAACCTCGTGTTATTAATGTATGTTTCTTTTCCTGAAAGTTTTCATTTTTTTTCTATTCCTCTATTTTTAAAAATACTCATTTTATTTGAAAGGCAGAGAGAAAGATCTTCCATCTGCTATTTCACTCTTCAAATGCCTGCAACAACCAGGGCTCAACCAGGCTAATGCCAGAGGCCTGGAGCTCAGTTCTGGTCTCCCACATGGATGGTCCTGAACCCAACTACTTGGGCCATCACCTGCTACCTCCTATGGTGTACATTAGCAGGAACCTGGATTGGAAGTGGAATAGCCAGGACTCAAACCAAACACTCTGATAAGGGATACAGACATCCCAAGCAGCAACTTAACACTTTGCCAAACACCTGCTCTGATTTTTTTTTTCCTTTACATGCTTTACATCTGTTTCTTAGGTTTGATTAATCTGGAATTGTTTGAGTATTTGAGCTGTTTATCAAATTTTCTGTTTTATTTTTGAGGCTCTATTTTTTTCTCTTGTGCATCCTTTTAAAAGAGGGGAAACTTGCCACTCAGACTGGTCTTTGTTTTGGCTCTTTTATCAGAACATTTTTTATTAGTTGATGTTGTTAACTTATAGGTATTAGAAGCAAACAAGATAAATATTTGAAACATTTTTACACGATAAAATATTCTTTCCCACTGGTTTGGGACATTCTTTACACTTTTATACTTACTAAGTCCATACTATGTACATTTATTTAAAGCATTTTCATATTCTTGTTGAAATAAAACGCCTGTTTGTTTATTAATGGAGAGGAAACATAATCATGGTGATTCACCTGCTTTCTTCATTTCTTTTTTAATCAGATACTTACGGCAATAAATCAAAGAAACAAAAAACTACTTTACTTTTCCACAAACTGTGGCAGGATTGCGGTAAGTGTATTTTGTATTGATTCATATTTATGTAGGTTATATATTTTGCTTTTCATTTTTTTCAAATTTTAACTGATAATGTTATTTTTCAAATTATACTTAATAATGGGAAAACTTTATCATAACAGTTAATTTTCCTGAGAGATCAAGACCAGGTTTCCGAGGACCAGGAGAAGGAAGATTCATCAAAAAAGGTATTTTATCCCCAACAGTATATTGCTTGTCATCAGACTAATATTTTATATAAGAATTCCATTTTTAGGAATGAGTAACTGCTTCTTTGTTAAACACTCCTGTAAACTTTTTTAGGCTTTCATTATTGAATGAATTGAGCTCAGTACCTGAAAGTTGCCCTGAAAACAGATTATGTTTTGCAGATTTACTGTCTAAGAAATTGTATTTTATTTATTTGGTGGTATTATTAATTGTAGTGTATCATGGAAGAAATGGTTTAAATCTGGCTGGTCATCTTTTTTATTTTTTATTTTTTTTAAAGATTTTATTTATTATTTGGGAGGTAGAGTTACAGAGAGAGAGAGGGAGAGAGAAAGGTCTTCCATCTGCTGGTTCACTCCCCAGTTGGCTGCAATGGCTGGAGCTGAGCTGGTCCAAAGCCAAGAGCCAGGAGCTTCTTCCAGGATTCCAAAGCAGGTGCCAGGGCCCAAGCAGTTAGTCCATCTTCCACTGCTTTCCATAGCAGAGAGCTGGATCAGAAGAAGAGCAGCTGGAACTAGAACCAGTGCCCATATGGGATGCTAGCCTTGCAGGAGGATGCTTAGGCCACTCACCACAGCATCAGCCCCGATTTTTTTTTTTTTAAGCCAGTGTCATCCATCACCCTTTGTTTGTTTGATATTTACTAATTTATTCATTCATTCATTGAGTTATTTGAAGGAGCCAGAAGCTTCTTCCGGGTCTTCCATGTGGGTGCAGGGGCCCAGGGACTTAAGCCATCTTCTGCTGCTTTCCAAGGCACATTAGCAGGGAGCTGGATCTGAAGTGGAGCAGCTGGGACACCAGCATCCATTTGGGATGCTGGTACTGCAGGTGGTGGCTTTACCCAGTATACAACAGTGCTGGCCCTGTCATCTATTTTTAAAAATTTTGATTGGAACACAGCCACAGTCATTTCATTATATATTGTTTCCAACTAGTCTCTTTTTTACAGTACAGCAACAGAGTTGGAATAATCCTAATAGAGGGTGTATATAGTCCACAAAACTTAAAATACTATGTGGTCCCTTACAGAAAAAAATTTGCCAAGCCCTGGTTTAGAAAATACAACCAAAAATTAATTGGTAGTCTTTTTCCCCCATTACATTATTTTTTTTAAAATTAGCTCACCTATTTTTACTTACTTCAAAAGACAGAGATCTCCTATCCACTTATTTACTCCCCAAATGCCTTCAACAGCTTTGGCTGGGCCAAATCGAAGCCATAATCTAAGCATTTAATCTGGGTTTTCTCAGTGAGTGGTAGGGACCCAACTACTTGAGCAATTATCTGCTACCTCCCAGGGTGCACATTAGCAGAAAACTGAATCAGGGGCCAGCGCTGTGGTGCAGCAGGTTAATGCCCTGGCCTGTTTGAGACCTGGCTGCTCCACTTCCCATCCAGCTCTCTGCTATGAGAGCACATTAGCAGAGAGCTAGATCAGAAGTAGAGCAGCCAGGTCTTACCAGTGCCCATATGGGATGCAGGCACTGCAGGCCAGGGCATTAATCTGCTGCACCACAGTGCTGGCCCCTCAAATGGAGTCTTAACCACTACAACAAACGTCCATTCTTCTCTTCACATACTCAAGGCACATTCTCCAAAGTCTCACTTTTTGCTGGTATAGTATATATAGCATTTATATAATATGTAAATACAGAATTAATTTTTTGGATTGGGAACTTTGTGATACCTTAGAGTCACATGTTGATAAAATTAAGTGTATTTTTCCATCATTCCTAGTGTTTTCTCCATTCCTTCATTTTCTGATTAAAAAAAATGGAGAATATGACATGATTTTGTTCATTTGTATTTCTTTTAATTAGAATTCTGATATTTATCATTCACTTTTCCAAAAGTATATATGCAGGATCAAAGAAGCTAGATTTTCATGTTTAACTGGAATGAAATTACATATGCCAAAATAACTTATCAAAACCACTTTTCATATAATTGTAAAGTAGTACATGTTACAGAATTCAGTTTTGGATTTATGTAATAATTCCACTGCTTTTTACAATTTATATTTGCAATGTTCCTTCAGTTTCCTTAGAATTTTTCTTTTTTCACTCAAAATGTATTTATTTTGCCTTCATTTTAGAAAGATTTTTTCCCCCTATCAGAATTCTGAATTGGCAGGGTTTTTTTTTTTCTTTTAACATTTTAAAGATAGTCCATCATATTCTGATTTCATTTTCTTTTGTTTTGAAATTTATTTTTTAAAGATTTATTTAGGGGCTGGGCTGTGGCATATCAGGTAAAGGCACCAGCATCCCATATGCGCACTGGTTCATGTCCTGACTGCTCCTCTTCCAATCCAGCTCTCTGCTTTAGCCTGGGAAAGCGGTAGAAGATGGCTCAAGTGCTTAGGCCCCTGCACCCACATGGGAGATCCGGAAGAAGCTCCTGGTTTCAGATCGGCCCAGCTCTTGCAGTTGGTGGCCATTTGGGGAGTAACCAGCAGAAGAAAGACCTTTCTCTCTGTGTCTCTCTCTCTCTGTCTGTAACTCTACCTCTCGAATAAATAAATAAATAAATCTTAAGAAAAAAATATTTATTTAAAAAAAAGATTTATTTAATTATTTGAAAGTGGTAGAAACAGATATCTTCAGTCTGCTGGTTCATTCCCCAGATGACCAAAGCCAGGAGCCTTATCCAAGTCTCCCATGTCGGTGTCAAGGACCCAAACACTTAGGACATCATCTACCGCTTTTTCCAGGCTGTTAGCAGGGAGTGGAACTGCCGGGACACACACTGGTGCCCATATGGATTGCTGGCGGCAACTTTACCTGCTACACCATAACCTATTATTTTAATAACCTACATTATTTTATTTTTAAAACATTTTTATTAACATGCAATTCTTGTACTTGCAATATTTTAATAATATTGCAATATTTCTTGCAATATTTCAACACAAATACACAGTATACACCAAAGGAGGCCACGAGCTTTTCCATTCCATCCTTTTTGTGTGTATTAGGGTCTACCAGTTCCTCTCTTTGAGGTGTAATTTTTTTAACTTGTGTATTTATTTAACTTCAGCTTAGGAATTCTGCTTCTTATAATCTGGTTAATTTTAATTTGGTAATTTTCCTCCCACAGAATCAAACTTCTTTCCTCATGGTGCAGTTCGGACAGAAACAGGGGTTTCCAGTCAAGCAGAATCCTACTATTCCTCACCTGTGTCCATCTCCAGTGGATTTTCACACCATGCTTCAGCCATATCCTCAATGGTACCTCAGTCTTCCTCAAGCTGGTCATCAATGGCCCACTCCACCTCACGCTCAGTCAATTCAAATCCACTCAGTAGTTTTTCAACAGGAATGCTTTCTTCTAATTCACAAGGTATCCCACCATTCCTGGAAATACCTCCTGGCAATGATTTAAGTGCTTCTGATGCTTGCATTTATAACAGTACTGATGAAATAAGCACGATGGAAGCATCACCCATATCATCAGCTGACTTATATGGTATTTCTGATGCCAACATACTGCCTAACTGTCCTGTGAATATGATGACGACCACTGGTGACGGCATAGGGGAAACTGATAATCCAAGACTTCTGAGCATGAATCTGGAAAACCCTTCATGTAATTCATTGTTAGACCCAAGAGACTTGAGAGAGCTCCATCAGATCTCCTCCTCCAGTTTGTCAGCAGGCACCAGTTCTAATTCTTCTGTTTTTGTTTCACAATCGGAGGCATTTGAGCGATCTGACTTTAACTGTACAGATAACAATATGATAAATGAGTCTGGACCATCAAACAGTACTAATCCAAACAGTCATAATTTTGTTCAGAATAGTCAGTATTCAGGTATTGGCACTATGCAAAATGAGCAACTGAATGACTCCTTTGCGTATGGGTTTTTTCAAGTATAATTTGCAAGGTTTAAATGTTTGTAGTTATTTTGATACTACCTTTAGAGATGCAACATTTTCTGTCTAAGAATATAATACAGAACTAGGTTTTTGTTTTGTTTTATTTGTTGAGGGATGATAGTCCAAAAATTTGTCTTTCAGGGAAGAAGTGCAAAACTTTGGGTACAAAGAATATAAAACTGGAAACTGCCATAAAAGGAAAATTCAGAAGTAGAAACTTAAGGGCTTTACTGTTTCTTCTATTTAATGATACAGCTTGATACCATGTGTGATGTGAATTCTTGTCTCTAGAGTCATACCACATAGCCCCAGGACAAACAGGAGAATGTTAAAGCAAGGTTCCAGTTTTTCCAAGTGTGCTTTTTATTTTTTTATAATGTATTAATGTATTCTTAGTTAAATGAATTAACTGATAATTTGCTGTCAAGCAAATTTAAGGTAAAACCTGTAATGGCTATGTCATTGGAAAAATTAATTCCTTGTTTTTGAGGCCCTTGGGCCAAGGTGACCCCTAAGGGGTTTTCTGTGGCTTCTTGGAATTTCGTAGATTTTTATGTCAAAAGTTCCTTCAAATGTTAAGTTGGGCAGAAGGCAGTTGAAGTGAGCTTTTGAGGTATGGGAGATTTTCTACATTTTATACTATTTAAATCCATACCTTTAAAGTTCCTTATGATTTTAGTTTTATATCCATAATATTAAGGAAAGAAGTTTCTTTGAATCTCTTTCCCTGTGATCTCAAAACTGCCTATTTGACATCTCTATCTAGAAATAGAATAAAAACTCAAACTCAAGATATGCAAACCTAAATTCTTAAACTTCCCTCCCAAACCTGCTTTGCCTTCAGTCTTCCCCAACTCAGTAAATGGCAATGCCATGCCTCTCATCGCTCAGGCTTGGAGTCTTCCTTGATTCTTTGTTTTTATCTCCCAATCCAGAAAATCCAGTAGGCCTTACCTTCGTGATGTTTTCAAAACACAGCACCTCTTGGACTTCCACTATTAACAACACCCTAATCTAAGCCACTGTCATCTCTGGCCTGGACTGAAACTATAGCTTCCAAAACCCCTCCCTACATCCTTATACCCCAACAGCCTGTTCCCCATATGGTAGCCAAAGTGATCGTTTTACATACAGGTCAGTCATGTCATTTGTCTGCCCCAACCATTCACTGGTTCTTCAGCATATTCTGAGTAAAATTCATAATCCTTAAAATTACCAGGCTTGGACTCAGGAGCTACCACCTTTCACCCCTGTACAGCTACAGACATTCTGACCTCAGTGTTGCTCCTAAAAAGCACAAAATATATTCCTGCCCCAGAGTCTCTGTTCTTGGTATTTCCTCTGCCTTGGAATACTCTTCTCCCGGATGAATAGCTCATCCCCTACGTTCTTCAGGTCTCACTTTTCTGTTATCTGGTTAAGGTTGTCTTTGCATATATATCAGCATTGACCTCTCCCCCTGCCCTTACATAGGTCCATTTTACTTATCATTATCTGACTTTACTAAGCATTGATTTGTTACTGTTTGTTTTCCTCTATTGGAATATAAGCTCCATGAGGGCGGAATTTCTTTGTGTTTTGTTTATTCTTGAACCTCCAGTTCATTGAACAGTGTCTGCCTCATATTAAGCACTTGGCAAATATTTATTGAACATTCAAAGTATTCCTATTAGAACTTTGATTTTTGAAAGAAAGAATAGCTTTACTGATTCAGTGTTCAAGATTTTTTACATCTTGTCTATTATGATGTTGAGTTTATATTAGAATTATATACACTCAAGTCCAGGATTGATAATGATAATCCATTATTCAAATTGTTTGAAAGCAAAACAATCACAGTGGTAAAATGGTGGTAGAATTTGGGCAATAACAATCTCAATTGTAATAAACTGTCATGTTTAGTGACTAACTTATTAAAGACCTGGTTTGTCTTAGAACTAGAACCTATCCTGAAGATTGAGCATATTCATAACTAGAAACAGTTTGTCATTTCCAATGTCCAACCAAACTATAAATCTACATAAACTGGTTAATTTGTTTGAAATGGGGTATGTGTGAATGCCATATAAATAAGAATTTTGAGTTGAATGATACTGGATAGTAAGAAGGGAGAGCAAGATACTAATTAGAAAACAAAAGAAAAATATTAAAGACCACTAAATACTGTTAGTGTTTCTCCAATTATTAGTTCAAAAGGAAATCTTTCCATCATATAAATTCTAAAAATCTTAAGTACATAACATACTTTTAATAGATATTACTAGGGAAAAAGAAAAACTTGAAGGCACCATTTCTTTTCTGTTAAAAATATGAGCTTAGGATATCTCCAGATGGTGATTGATAGGTGGTAAGTTTATTTTAAATACAAAATTTTATAATTTTGTATTAATTAGCACTGATCAGTTTAAAACCACACTGTTAGAATAGCTAATTGTATTTTTTAAAGTAAATAAGTATTGACTTGTTTTGCAGCTTTTTCCTTTGTAAGCTAAGTTACCGGAATATCCATGTTTAAAGGATTTCCAATGGATCTTTCATTTTTAGGTGCTATTTACTAATCACAGAACTTATTTTATAATTTAAAATAAATTTGGCTGCATGATTTTGCTCTGTATCTTACACTTGTTTTTTCCACTTTCACCTGTTTTTACAACACTGCACTTTTAGTTTGAGCAAAAGGTGTCCTTCCTTTCTAAACTCAACTTGTGCCCTGAAGCCTTCCTCCATTCTCTCCCATCTTGTTTCCTGTGTCCTCACATCATTATTCTTCCTTTGTATAAATGTGATAAATGTCTTCCTTCTGTAGCCCAGAAAAACTAAGAACAAATTTTCCTGCCACCCTCATGCTCTTTCTCTTCACATCCTGACTTTTAGAATCTTTCAGCCTCCATTTCCTCCCTTCCCAGTCATTCCTTAGCCTATTGCTCCCTGTCTTTAGCTCTCTACTGTTTTCTTAGACTATCCTGGGAAAGGTGACCAGAGATTATCCACTGCTTCCCTCACTCTTGTGAAATCTGGTATCTTTTTATCAGTCTTAATTCTCCCTTCCTGACCTGCCCAAAGCCGTCTACCCCTGTCAGCCACACCTTCTTTGGATAGACCTCTCAGAAGATGCTTTCTTTCCTGGAGGGTCAACCCCAGCTCTCACTCGGTACTGTTTCCCCTGTGTGATCTCATCAGTGCCCACTGCTTCAATTTTCTCTCATGGTACCTAGATGTCCTGATAAACTGGCTTTTCCTCTTGGATTTTTACATTCCTTAAGCATTACCATTTGTCCTGCCATTTAAGATACTTAATAGGATTCTCAAAATCTTGTTTTATTCTTTCACACTCCTTCATATTCCAGTCTTTTTGAGTCTGCTTCCTAAAAATCCTTGTTATTTGTCCCCTCTTCATTTCTGCCACTGTTAGTAAAGGCCCTCATTCTTTTTACAAAACAAGAATCTTCTCTATATTTTAACTAACTCATCCTCTTAACCCTTTTTACATGGTTAGCATTCTTTGAAAAAAACATTTCCTGGGATCGGCATTGTGGCATAGTGGGTTAAGCCACCATCCATGCTGCCAGCATCCCATATGGGTGCCACTTCGTGTCCCAGCTGCTGCACTTCCAATCCAGCTCCCTGCTAATGTGCCTGGGAAGGCAGTGGAAGATGCCCAAGTACTTGGGCCCCTGCCACCAGTGTGGGAGGCCTGGTCTTGCTCTGGCTGTTGCTGCCATTTGGGGAGTGACCTGTAAGATGGAAGATACATTTCTCTCTCTCTCTCTCTCTCTCCCCCTCCCTCTCTCCCTCTCCCCCCTCCCTCCCCCACCCCAGCCTTTCAAATAAAATAAATCTTTTTTTAAAAAGTAAAAAATTTTCTGTTTCCTTACCTTTATAAATGTTATCCACTCTGTCTGCTCTTCTACAGCTAGAACACTCATCATTTAAGATTGGGCTTCTCTGTGATGGTTGGTCCTGCCTCCATAGTCAGGGTGCAGCTTAGTACATGCCCATGTTATAGAATTCATCAATGAATTATTGACATTTAAGTGTTGGTATCACTCATCTCTGGGACTCTACCACCTGGTGCAGTCCTTCCTGGCACAGTTGGTGCTGAGTAAATGGTAGCTACTATTAGAGAAGGAAAGGTGAAATTGACCTAAGTGTGGTTATTAAAATACAGACAAGGATGCAGTTTTTAAAAAGATGCTTAACCCAGGAGAAAAAGCAGAGATGCCAATATTAGTTAAGTCTTGTAAAATATACTTTTCTTGACCTATTTGCCTCCCTTTTAAAAACTCTTTTGTAGCCCTTGAGGATTGAAAAGTTGCATGATCTCATACCCTTGCCTGGTTACTTTGTCCACTGTCAGCATCTCCCTCCATGCACATGGCACCTTCTCCTTGAACAGACACTCCAGTGATCATGTCATCAGTCCCATCAGATTTTTTGAATGTCCAAAATACAGAGCACCATGGGAGGTGCCAAAAATGATTGAGGTGAATGAGACACAGCTTTTCCTTTCAAACATGTCAATCTTTGTCTTTTTGAGGGACATAAAAATTGCATAAAGTAGATGAATTTTTAGTGTATAGCTTGATGCGTGTTTATGTATGTAAATACCATGTAACCACATTTGCAGCACTCTAGAAATTTTCTCTGTACCCCTTCCCAGCCCGTACCTACTATAAAGCAGCATTTGATTTTTATCATTGGAACCTACTGGCCTTTGGAATATTTAACTGTGAGTCTGTGTCAAGAGTGCACAGAAACAGCTGGGCGGTCCACTTCTAACCAGATGCTTCAGATCAACTCATTCTATCTTCCATGTTGAGAGAGAATGGGAATTGGTGATTCAGACTGCAATAGTAGCACCAAATAAGTTATCATAAATTTATTGAAAGATTATCATGTGCTGTTAAACAGTATGGAGAAACAGAAGAGAGACCTTTGTCAGATAATACCCAGCCTATCTACCTCACAGATTATTATACTAAATAAAATAATACATGAGAAGAAACACTGTAAATTGTAGGGCTAATCAAATATTAATAAGCCAATATCGGTATATCCTGTGGCCCTGATTCACCTCTACACACTCCTTCTAGTTACCTTGTACACGACAGAGTGAGAAAAATCACTATGGGTTAGATCAGTAATCAAGAACCTTGAGATAGGTGTCTTTTTAGAATGATCAGCAATTGTCCAGATCTGGGGGATATTCCCTTCTTTTAGATTTATTCTTTGCAGAAACACTTCCTATGTAGAGTGTGGATAAAGTCAGTTAATGACTTCAGTTCTAAAATTCTGTGATTTTGAATTTCTTTGCCAAAGACGATTATGAATCGGGAGTACTTTCACGCTTTCTCAAAGTGAGTCTCATCAGAGTTAATGAAGTTGCCACCAAAACTTTCTTTCATGAAAACTTTTGTTTTCACAGGCTGCATGTGAAAGAGGGAAAATTATAAAATGCTTTTTGTATTGCATATAGTAGAAATTTCATTGTTTGTCTTGAAAGCCCAGGAGTCGATTCTTAGACATAAATATACGGGTTATCTGTCTAGTTTTATGCCTTTGTTTGTCTAAGACTTAGTAAAATAAGTATTTTAACTCATATCTTAGCAGAGTTCAGTTAAAGCACAGGTTTAATAACAGTGGGTAAGATCAAATCTCAAAAGTAATCCTGTATGAAATTTCATTTCATGTGTATGACAGACCAAAAAACTACTGTTTCAACTACCCCCAATAATAAAAAAGATACATCATTTTTTGAAAAGCAATCCCTCTATTCTAAATGTCTGTGGTTTTAGGATATGTACTACTTGCTAGTAATTACCAATTTAAAGAGGTAGAATTTACCATATTCTAATATTCTTACCACTTATTCCCACAACTTCGTTTACTACTGGGCTTTCAAAAATTTAAAGAAGTACAAATAAAATTCATTAAACACTTAATATGTGAAATGGTAATACACAATAATTAGTATGAAATGTTCTTTAGCAGATTGAACTTTCAAGGATATTAGCAAGTAAATATAAATTTATGATAAAAGTAGCAAATATTCACCTTTCCCACTTGTTAAAATTTCTTTATCTAATCAAAACATTACAGCTTTCAATAAAATGTAGTTAGATATAAGTAAGTTTGGAGTACCTAGGGATCCATTTGTTGAATTGTCTTGAGATTTCCCTGGCGGGCCACTGGATTTTTGTGTAATTAGCTGATCCTGTTAGCCACTGTAGCACGGTTCTGGTAGTTTTGAGATGGGAAGGAAAACATAGAGCTTCTGGTTAATGAGCCTTCTTAAATGAATGAGTCAGACCAGGGAATCTTTAGAGGCGATTCTTGTTTTAAAGTAAGTCCTTAAAAATACTGTTGGCTATGATGAATCTAGATCCCAGCAGAATAGCAAAATAATTTTTTGTCTGTTCCAAGTAGTAGTATATGCTTGATGACTGGAAAAACATTGGAGGCACTGCTAAGAATGATACTTAAAAGTTCTCAGGTACTGTTCAATTATTTAATGTTAAGTTTAGTATCGGTATGCAATAGTTTTTAAAATGTCAGAATGTGTTTTATTGTACAGAATATTTTATCTTTATAATATCTTTGTATACAATGATTTTTTTCTTTAATAATAAATGGAAAACTTCTAAAATCCTTGATAAAATGTTACTGCTGCTTGGTTTTCAAAGTATCAACAGATTTTCTACATATTTATAACATCTTCCCGGAAAGGTAATTTTGCTTGCTTACAAATAGGCATTTTGGGGGGTGGATATTGTTGGACTGCTGCTTGCCTGTATCCCACATTGAAGTGCCTGGTGTTGAGTCCTGCCTCTGCTTCTGATCCACCTCCCTGCAGGGTGATGGTTCAATTGATGGGGTCCCAGCCACCCGCGTGGGAAACCCAGATGGGATTCTTGGCCTGTGGCTTCAGCCTGAACCAGCCCCAGTTCTTGCCAGCATTTGGGGAGTGAACGAGCAGATGGAAGGTCTTGGCCTCCTCTGCCCCCCAGACTCTGCCTTCCAAATAAATAAAAACAAAAACTTTAAAAAAATGTTTATGGAATGCTAAAGCTGAACGCTTGCATGTGTATTGAAATGGTAACTTTGTAGAGTAATGAAATGCCTTTTTAAATTGTTTTGGCTTAAACAACAAATTATTTTTTCACAGTTCTAGGGCTGGAAGTTTGAGATCAAGGAACCAGTATTGTTGGGTTCTGGTAAGGACTCTTCCATCTTGCAGATATCACAATTCTTTATTCATTCATCTGGGGCTAGACATGTAGGTTAAAGATTCTACGTCTTGGCTATTGCAAAGAACATGTGAATGCAGATGTATCTCCAGTATACTGATTTCATTTCCTTTTCACATATTAAGTAGTGAGATTGCTTGATCTCATGATCCGTCTATTTTTAATTTGCTGAGGAACTTCCATATTGTCTTTATAATGGATATGCTAATTTACCTTCCCCTCAAGTATCATAAGGGTTCCCGTCTCGCCACGTTTTAACACTTGTTGCCTTTTTGAGAATAGCAATTCAAACAGATGTCAGGTTTTAACTTAAATTTCCTTGGTGATGAGCGATGTTGGGGAAGGTTTCATATACCTTAGTATTTGCATGTCAGCTTTTGAGAAATGAAATGTCTGTTCAGACTTGCCCTTTCCCCTCTGTGTATTCTTGGCACTTTTGTAAAAAATCCGCTGACTCAGGGCTGGTGTTGTGGTGTAGAGGGTTAAGCTGCTGCTGAGATGCCAGCATCCCAGATTTGAGTTCCGGCTGCTCCGCTTTGGATCTAGCTCCATGGCTGATGGTGTGCCTGGGAAAGCAGCAGCAGATGGCCCAAGGACTTGAGCCCCTGCCACAAGCGTGGAAGACCTGATGAAGCTGCTGGCCTGGCCAAGTACTGGCTATTGCGGCCCTTTGGGGAGTGATATCTCTGGAAGATATCTCTGTCTCTCCTTCTCTAATTCTGCCTTCCAAAAAAAATAAACAAAAACAAAAAAACAGGTAAATCTTTAAAAGATCACTTTGGGTAACAATGGATGTTTTAACAATATTGATTCTCCCAACCTATGAATGTGTGGTATCTTTCCATCCTTCCAACAGTGTTTATAGTGTGGAGATGTTTCACCTTTATACTTCCAATGTAGAGCTCCTTCACTTTCTTGGTTAAATTTATTCATAAGCATATATTTTTGTGAAGCTATTGTAAATGAGATTTGATTCTTGGTTTTTCAGACTACTGACTGTTCTATGTTGATTTGGGGTCCTGCAAATTTATTGAATTTGTATATTCAATAAATATACAAAGTTTTTTGGTGGATTAGGGTTTTCCTTAAGTAAAATCACGTTCTCTGCAAACAGGGATAATCTAACTTCTTCCTTTCCAATTTAATGTCTATTATTTTTTTTCTTCCCTAATTGTTCTTGCCAGCACTTCCAGTACTGTGTTGAATAGAAGTGGTGAGAGGGGACATCCTGTGTTGTCTGTGATCTTTGAGAAAGGCCTTCAGTGCTGTACTCTGCTATGGTGTTGGCTGTGGAATTGTCATGTATGGTCTTTATTGTGTTGGGTTATGTTCCTCCTAGATGTAGTCTATAGGCAGTTTTTATGAAAGGATGGTAAATTTTGTCAAATGCCTTTTCTGCATCTATTGAGATGATGTTTTTTGGCCTTTAATTTGTTGATGTATATCACATTTATAGATTTGCAGGTTGAACCATCCTTGTATCCTCGAGATAAATCCCACTGTATCATGGTAAGTGCTTTTTCAAGTGCACTATTAAATTTGGTGTGTATTTTGTTGAATTTTTGCATCTGTGTTCATCAGAGACATTGGCATGTAGTTTGTTTATTGATAATGTCCTAATCCAGCTTTGATATCAGGGTAATGCTAGACTCACAAATGGACTTCAGAATTCCCTTCCCTTCCATTTTTTGGGAAGAGTTTGACAAGGACTGGTAATCATTCTTTAAATGTTTTGTAAAATTCAGTAGTGAAGTTATAAGGCCTCTGACTTTCAAATAAATAAATAAATCTTTAAAAAAAAAAATAGGAGACTTGATTGGAAGTAGAGCATCTGAGACTTGAATGAGCATGCATAGGGATGCCAGCAGCTTAACCTGCTGTGCCACAGCGTGGGCCCTGGAATATCTTTTTGTATAAAATAAGAACTTAAAGAATGATGGGGACATGTCAAAAGAACACAACCCAGCCTGAAGCGTGTCCCATTGGCAAAATCAATACTTAAAAAGCAGAAATTAAAACCCATCAAATAGGAAGGCTGTGAGTCTTGTTTCTGTGTAATTCCTGCAAACAAGAACATTGCACTTAACCCCACAAGTATCAAATTCAGGAAATTAAAACTAATACATTATTATCTAGTCACAAAAATAAACATTTTTAATTACACAGTGATGTAAATAAATGAGAAACTACCTTTTAATGGAATGATGACCAATAAATGTTAAAGGAATGATAAATTAGGCCGGCGCCACGGCTCACTAGGCTAATCCTCCGCCTTGCGGCGCCGGCACACCGGGTTCTAGTCCCGGTCGGGGCGCCGGATTCTGTCCCGGTTGCCCCTCTTCCAGGCCAGCTCTCTGTTGTGGACAAGGAGTGCAGTGGAGGATGGCCCAGGTCCTTGGGCCCTGCACCCCATGGGAGACCAGGATAAGTACCTGGCTCCTGCCATCGGATCGGCACGGTGCGCTGGCCGCGGCGGCCATTAGGGGAGTGAACCAACAGAAGGAAGACCTTTCTCTCTGTCTCTCTCGCTCTCACTGTCCACTCTGCCTGGCAAAAAAAAAAAAGGGAATGATAAATTAGAAAATATTTGGCAATTGGTACAATAATTGATTCAGGTGGAAATCTTGAATGGATGCTAAACTTGGGAGTGAACGTTGGATAGCCTCTTTACAAGATACTAATGGCAAAAGGGAAAAAAGAGAGTTACCTTATCAATGGAGAAGTTTGGTAGACAGTACCTTGATCAAGTGATCAAAGCCCAACCATCAGTAACTGGGCAAATAAACGCTGATAAGATGCAAGTACATAATGTTTTCTGTGTGGTACTCATACCAAAAAGGTGCAAATGGAGTCTGATAATAAGGAAACATCAAGCAAATCCTAACTGAGGGATTACTACTGGCCTGAAATGCTCAAAAGTGTAAGTAATGGAAATCAAGGGAAGACAGAGTGTTTCAGGTTGGGAACTAGGGACATAATTAAATGCACAGTACAATCACCAGACTATGAAGAACACTGGTAGGACAACTAGCAAAGCTTGAAGAGGGCCTGAGGATTGGATAATACTAATGTATCAGTCCTGATTTTGATAGCAGTACTGGGGCTGGATTAAAGAATATCCTTTGTAGGAATTACACACTAGTGTATTTGAGACAATAAGGCATCATTGGCTCAATGGTTCAACTTAAGGGTACCATTTTAAAATGAACTCAGAAAAGCTTATATCAAAGTCAATTTCTTTTGGATTTAAAAAGTATAAAACTAAAGATTAGCCTAAAATGTTTTTCTCTTACAAAATGAAATTTAACTTTTAAATTTATTTGCTATAACTTGAAAATATAAAGTTATCTTGAAAATTTTTCATTTTAGTAGCTTGTTCCCCAGGTATTCAGAATTGTGATTTTCCTAAAATAAACCACAGACTATATTTGGGACACAGAAATACTAAAAACTGCAAACTGAAAGAGCTAACTTTCTCTGAATGTTATTTAAAATACTTCTAATTTAAAGCTTTAAAAAAAGAAACTATAAAATTTTAAGAATTATTTTTAAGCAAAAGGAAACTATGGTATTCTCATTACCTGATGTTTCCAATTTCACCTAGAACAAGGATCAACATTAATTTTTAACAACTTGTGTCTCAAATAAATGGAATGTTTACAGCTAATATTACTCTTTGCTTGAAATTTTGTGTAATTTTGGGTTTAAAAATTTAAGAAATAAGTTTTCTAAGTTTGCTAAGGAGGTTCCTGAATTTTCCATATTACAGATATACTGGATTCAAAGCTGAAACAAAAGAAATATTCAAAAGACTCTTACATTATTTGTCTTTCTGTAGCAAAATTTCTTCAGAAATTGAAAATGATTCACACAGAAGTTCTTTTATCAGAAGTTTATTTCTGTTATTCCATTCTCATTTTCTAACATTGGAAAGAGTGAAAATTATTTGCTACTATTCACATATGAAATCAAAGTGGTAGGCTGGCTTACCAGTTAACACTATTTTCCTGATATCTAAAGTGAATCTTCATATTTATGAAATATGTGTAATACAGAGATGGGAAACAGTGAGTAATTGATACTATACAAGCCATGTGAATACTAAAAAAAAAACCTCTAATAGCTATATTAAGAGTGACAGGAATTACACTTAAATCTGAAATTTTAGGAAAGTTTTCCTTTTTTTTTTTTTTTAAGATTTATTTTATTTATTTGAAAGCCAGAGTTACACAGAGAGTGAAGGAGAGGCAGAGAGAGAGGTCTTCCATCCGATGATTCACTCCCCAGATGGTCCCAATGGCCAGAGCTGCGCTGATCCGAAGCCAGGAGCCAGGAGCTTCCTCTGGGTCTCCCACGTGGGTGCAGAGGCCCAAGGACTTAGGCTATCTACTATTGCTTTCCCAGGCCATAGCAGAGAGCTGGATCGGAAGTGGAGCAGCTGCGAGGTCTCGAACCAGCACCCATATGGGATGCCGGCGCTTCAGGCCAGGGCATTAACCCGCTGTGCCACAGTGCCAGCCCCAGGAAAGTTCTTTTCTAAAACTTTCAGTAACCCATTGTTCTTTAGGTTTAGCTTTCTTTTTTCCTTTTTATTTATTTGAAAGGCAGAGATAGAGAGAGAATCTTTCTTCTGCTGGGTTCACTCTCCAAATGGCCCCAATGTCCGGGGTTGGGTCAAGCTGAAGCCAGCAGCCAGGAGCTTCTTCTTGGTCTCCCATAGTGGTACAGGGGCCCAAGCACTGGGCCATCTTCCATTGATTTCCCAGGCCATAGCAGAGAGCTAGATCAGAAGTGGAGCAGCTGGGACTCAAACTGGTGCCCATATGGGATGCTGGCACTGCAGGCTGAGGCTTAGCCTTTTATACCACAGTGCCAGCCCCAAGTTTAGCTTTCTTAATATTATTTCCCTTCATAACACCATTGGGTAATAAACTTACAGGTGGCAGTTATATGAGATTGTATGAAATATACTTGGGCTTTTTTTTGGTAAGCTGCTTGATTTGGTATTTTAATTCCAAAACTCAGTTATAATGGTCCATGAGTCTAAAAGGCATCCTCAGGTGCCTCCTCCATACCATAAGTACTCAATAATATAATGTTTTAGAAAAGAACTCTAGAGACAAAGCAACTTCAGTTCTATTCCTAGATATGGAGGTAACAATTTTTAGATGTCATCTAACTTCTTTGGTTTCAATATTTATGAAATAGAGACAATTTCCTATTTGCCTTTCATTAAGACGTTTGAAATTAATATATTGAAGTAATACTAGTTTACCCTTTATTTAGCAATCTGTTTTTCAAATTCTTAACCCTGGGATTGGAGTTACTGAAGGCACTTGTTTCTCCTTATTTAAAATGGTATGTCTCAATTACTAAGGTTTCACTTCCCCTTGCACAGAAGAAAGGTATTGACAATTTTAGATTGTCAAAATAGGAACTTGAGGTCATTAGATATGTGACAAATCACGCTCAAAAGGGCTTCTATTGGTAATAGTTTGCTTGAGGCTCACCAGGAAAAATATTGGCAGATTTTCATTTGATATCTTAGAATATTATAGGATACTATGCTGCATAAATCTAGAAAAAAATTTTATTCAGATAATTTTAAAGCTTTGGAACATGATTTTAAAGGTAGAATGCCTCTTCAAGAGGAAAATCTTGTTGCAAGAAATTACAGCGTCTCAGACTAAAAAAGAATGTGTCTTTTTTGTATACCCCTCTAAATCGAAGAATTGAGAGAATGGTTTCCTTATTTTGTTTTGTGGAGATGTAAGAGGAAATGAGAAAAAATCACGACATCCTTGGAACAGTTAGAACACAAAATCTACACACAGAGATCCTGAGCTGTTGCAATAAACTAGAAATCATACAGATCAACATGATCCAGATGGTTTCCCAGACACCGTTATGCTGGGTAAACAGCTGTGTTAGCATGGATGTTGAGTGGAAGTCTACATCATACCAGGAAAACACTACTCTTGGTCTCCACATTGAGAAGTTAGTCTTCCAGAGCAGGTGGCCAGTCAACATCCACAGACTAGAAGGGAGAAAACAGTCATTAAAACAGCTCATACTATTCTGGTCAACAGTTACTGGTAATATTGCTCAAATTTACCATAATACAGCAGAAGAAGATGCATTTGAAGGCAAGAGGTACTGAACACCATCATTTAAATGCTCTTGTCCATTCTAGGGATTCTTAAGCTTAAGCTCTGTTTCTGAATTAAGCAAGCAGCAGGATTTTTATTTTATTTTTTTTTTTACAGGCAGAGTGGATAGAGAGAGAGAGAAAGAAAGGTCTTCCTTTTGCCATTGGTTCACCCTCCAATGGCCGCCGTGGCTGGCGCACCGCGCTGACCCAAAGCCAGGAGCCAGGTGCTTCTGGTCTCCCATGCGGGTGCAGGGCCCAAGTACTTGGGCCATCCTCCACTGCACTCCCAGGCCACAGCAGAGAGCTGGCCTGGAAGAGGGGCAACCGGGACAGAATCCGGTGCCCCGACCGGGACTAGAACCCGGTGTGCCAGTGCCGCAAGGCGGAGGATTAGCCTAGTGAGCCGCAGTGTCGGCTCCATCTCTGATTTAACACATTCAATAGTGTGTAAACCTATAGCCTTGCTGGTAACCTAGCAACTAAATCTAAAAGACAAGAATATGAAAGATCACCTGTAACTAGAAAAGGATTAAGTATCTTTGTGTTTGATTCTTTCAAAGTCTAGTCTACTCTTACCTTCATTTTGCTCTTCTGGAACAAAACCTTGGCCTTCAAGTTATGATGAAATTACAGTAAGACTATTTTGTCCACACATAAACATGTCTGTTTTTTAAAAAGATGTATTTGTTTGAAAGGCAGAGAAAGAGGAAGACGGAGAGAGAGAGAGAGCGAGCTTTCATCTGCTGGTTCACTCTCGAAGGAGCTGGGCCAATCCAAAACCAGGAGCTTCTTCCCAGTCTCCCACGTGGGTGCAGGGGCCCAGGGACTTGGGCCATCTTCTGCTTTCCCAGGCCATAGCAGAGAGCTGGATCAGAGGAAGAGCAGCTGGGACACAAACCGGTGCCCTTACGGGATGTCAGCTCTGCAGAAAGCAGCTTAACCCACTATGCCACAGCATCAGCCCCGCATACCATGTCGTAACTATAAGGAATGTGTTTTAAGAGAAAGTTAAAATATTCATAGTTTTTATTAACTTTAAAAATTTGAAAACTAAAATGAGGTACTGAAACTGTTAATCCATGAGTCATTCACATTCCAGATTTATAAAACTTTGATTAGGAAATAGCAAGCTGGCATTGTGGTACAATGGGTAAGCCACTGCCTGCAATGCAAGCATCCCGTTTCAAGTGCCTGTTTGAGTCCCAGTTACTCTGCTTCCAATCCAACTCCCTGCTAACATGCCTGGCAAAGCAGTGAATGCTGGATCAAGTACCTGGGCCCGTGCCATCCCTGTGGGAGACCGGATGGAGTTCTGGGTTCCCAGCTTCAGCCTGGCCCAGCCCCAGCCACAGCTGTTACGGCCATTTGGCCAGTGAACCAGTGGATGGAAGATCTGTCTCCCCACTATCCCTCCCTTTGTCACTCTACCTTTCAAATAAATCTTTAAAACATAAACACTTTTATGTGTGTGTGTCTTTTACAAATCTAAAGATAACTTCAGTTAAACTAGTTTCACAATGTAGCCATATACAAAACATCCATAATAAGTTAATGAGTGGTTTCTCAAACTGAATTTTTAAACATCACTGATTGCAAGCGTGTGTTGAAGGCAAGGGAGGATAGCCGTGGTGTATTATCTCAAAAGCTCCCCAGGTGATTCCAGTGGACACTCAGGGTTGAGAAACCTTGGCCTGTGACTCCTTGACACTCCTGAGATCTCAGAATGTCCTAAGAACGAGGGCCAAAGAGCTAAAAGTTATCTTCCTCAAAATGATAGGCTCACTGAAAAGGCAGGCTTGCAGGAGCTGTCATTGGGTGCACTGCAGAAACTGCGTAAAGTCCAATCAGAGGATCTGCGATAATCGATTACTATAGTTTTTTCATGCGAGGCAATGATATCAACCTCTCTTTATAACTTTAATATTATTCCTAATACAAAATGCTAGCTTTCCTAAGATTTGGAGGATAAGATGAAGGATAAAGACTATTCCTAAATAGACTTTCATCAAGGAACACAATGTATTACTCACTATGTGATACTCAAATGAAACAAACAATTTCCTGAAATAGCCATTCTTTAGAATTTAACCTTCTTTCAGTTCAGGCTGTAAGAGCAAGAAGTCTGGACCACAGCATAGAGGTCCTTTACAGAAATGCGACTCCCACCCACCCACCCTGAATGTACATTTCTGAGCAAGCTGCCTTGAATTCTTTATAAAACAAAACAGATATGGAAATGTACTCTTGATTTCAAAGGACATATGAGAGTCATTACAATTTTGCTTGGCTTAAAAGTTACTTTATGTAAAGCAACTAGTAAATAGATAAAATAGTAAATGAGACCTTGTATTTTTAATGAAGTCTGAAGGTATTTCTTGTGATACAGTGATACTGTGTGATTATTTTCCAGTACTATGAAGGTGGGTAGTGCTATCTGACTAAGTGCCAAGGAGCATCACTCTGGCTGAATTTGCAAATGTGCACTCCAGAGCTGGCTTACCTCAACATCCAGCTCAAGAATGTCTGCAGTCACACTCATCAGAGAGCCAATGTTTGGCTTAGTTCTCCCGAAGTCTCCATGGACAAACTCTTTGATGTACCTGGGCTTTGTTTAAGGAAACAGTGAAGACAGCCATGCAGTACCAACCAATGGGCAAGATTGGATAGGTCAAAGCAGGAATGTTACAACACCATCCTGAGCTCTGATTGTGATACATGTCTTGGAAAATAAGCTATGGAAAACTGGTTCCTATTAGCTTGGAAGTCAACATAAGGACCCAGGACCTCTGTTTACATCAAAAGTACCAAAAGTCATAGTTTTCTTTTTTTCATTATAGCTTATCCCCAAAGTGTCAAGATTTATATATGGGACTTAAAAATTAGCTATAGAGGCCAGCGCTGTGGCATAGCGGTTAAAGCCTCCGCCCTGCAGTTCGGCATCCCATATAGGTGCTGGTTCGAGACCTGGCTGCTCCACTTCTGATCTGGCCTGGGAGGCCTCCTGGTCTCCCATGCCAGTGCAAGGACCCAAGCACTTGGACCGTCTCTACTGCTTTCCCAGCTGTAGCAGAGAGCTGGATCAGAAGAGCAACCAGAACACAAACAGACACACCTATGAGATGCTGGCACGATAGGTGGAGGTTTAGCCCGCTACACCATAGCACTGACCCCACTGAGTTTTTACAATTCAGATGTTTTAGGGACACGGGCTGCTGTTCTGGGCCATTGGCCACATAAAGTTAAGATCAATATGTACAGTCATCATTCCCATCTGCCAACCATGTTTATTCATCCGGCAAGGGCTTGAAATGCTAACAGGACCCACATTTGGTCATGAATTTGTGGCTTGCATACTATGTAGAGACAGCAAATGAATCCATTAAAAATGTTTCTGACTACTTCCTATGTGCCCAGCACTGGGTACCAAACTAATTACATGAAACATAAATAACTTCAAAGATGACATTGAACTGATTGTACCTCATAATTTAAAGTCATTTTGGGGGCTGGTCCTGTGGCATAGCAGGTAAAGTTGCTGCCTGTGATGCTGCCATCCCATATGGGCACTGGTTCATGTCCCGACAGCTCCTCTTCTGATCCAGCTCTCTGCTATGGCCTGTGAAAGCAGTGGAAGATGGCCCAAGTGCTTGGGCCCCTGCCACTCAACATGGGAGATCCAGATGAAGCTCCTGGCTTCCACCTGGTCCAACCATGGCCATCTGGGGAGTGAACCTGTGGCTGGAAAATTGATTCTCTCTCTCTCTACCCCCTCTCTAATTCTGCCTCTCAAATAAATAAAAAATTGTTTTTAAAGTCATTTTGAAAACCACAAAAGAAAAAAGATATCAAACCAAAAAAGCATGGCTTCTTCTCCACTGTACTTATAATGCTTTCCCTAATACCTCCCAGACCAAGTGGCGCCTCTTCCAGGCCTGCACTAGCTGTTCCACTAGGATCCCGCGGTGCGGACAGCGAGAGGATACGTCCCAGCTTGAGTCTTGAGATGGAGGCGAAAATGATGCTCGTCCACGTAGTGCGTCTCCATGGAGTGAATGACACGCGATCTCACAGCCAGTGGCCTGCGGTGCAGGACCCGGAGAGGGGTTTTCTGGTCGATCTTGAGGTCCTGCAGGGGGGTATGGTCACAGCAGAGAGTCAGCGCGGCCACCCAGGGAAGGATGGCTCGGCTCCTCTGTCACGCAACCCTCGCCACACATGTGCTCGGGAGGGGCTCCATGGATCACACTGCAATAAACCGTCTCCCCTCAGGTTCAGCCTGTGCTCTTCTCAGAACCTGGTCCATAATTCCTCACTTCCTGGGCTCCAGGACCTTCCTCATAAACAAAATCCAAAAAAAGGTTTCAAAGCAATAATCCTCAAAGTCTCTTGCTCTAATATTTAAAGGGTTGGTTACGACCCTAGAGTTCCACCCTGTCTTTTGCTTCAATGGGCTCTTCTGGAAGGCAGTGCTCTTTACAGACTGTGTGTGCGTGTGTTCGTGGGGGGGGGGGGGGGGAGAGGGACAGGGAGAGGGAGAGGGAGAGAAATGTTATATATGTGAAAGGCAGCATGAAAGGGAGAGGCAGACAGAGACAGATCTTCCATCCCCTGGATCAATCCCCAGATGCCCACAACAGCCAAGGCTAGGGGCAGGCCAAAGCCGGGAGCCAGGCACGCCCTATGGCTCTGCTATGTGGGTAGCAAGGGTCCAGGTACTTGAGCCATCACCTGCTGCCTCCCAGATGCACATTAGCAGGGAGCTGGTTGGGGAAGCCGGAACTCAAACCAGGCACTCTGATGTGGGATGCGGGCGTCCCCAGCAGCAGTTTAACCTGCTGAAGTGCAGTGCCTGCCCCGAGAGGGCAATGTTCGTTCTTTAATTTTCCAACCAACAGAGTGACCTGGGAGGATTTCAGGCTGGGGTGAGAAATGGCTGCTTGCAAGTACAACACGTGCCTCACTTGTGCACAAGCGTGCTTTGCATATTCCAAGGAGGGCCATATATGCGCTCTCGGGGTGGTTGGTTTGGTTTGGTTTTCTGGTTATACAGAAGGATAAATCTGGAAAAGTGGCGAAGGTGACATTCCAATGTAATGATTACAAGTAGGTGTGCACAACAAATCAGGCTCTGAGCAGGTTAGCCCAGCCCCGGAACGCAGCAGTGTCGCCTCATCTCAGCTGCTTCGGGGACGTGGGCTTGCTTTCCTTACAATTAGTTCAAATGAGAGATTTTCCTTTATGTCACAAGATATAATCAAGAAATAAGGAGAAATACTGTAAAAGGTTAATTCCAATTTTAAAAATAGGTACTGGGCAGAACTAGAAATGCCAGTTCCCGAGAACTGGGCTTCCTCTGCAGTTTCTTGTTGGAACGATTCCTAATTCACATGCTTAGTGAGTGCCTGAGCCCTGCTGAGCGAAGAAAGGTTTCTGTCTGGTCTCTGCTGTGTGGCGCTCTCTGCAGAGAAAGGAAGGGCGAGTTCTGACAAAGAGCATGCTGGGAAGGTATAACCGCCGTTATCAGAGTGGTGAGTCAGCAACCCCCCCCCCCAACTCTGTGGTTTTTATGCTTAATTCTTTGATTTTAGAACCATTTTTATTATTATTCTGAGATAAGCCATCTCCACAAGGTTGGCCTTTTCTCTGGACAAAAAGACCAATAAAATAAAGGCCAAGGCTAACTATTAAGGAGTCTATAAAAACAGGCTGCACTTCAGACTGCAGGAACAGCCAGCCTTTAATTGAGCAACTACAGAACGAGTGCTCTTCTCTGATTCCTTCACCTCTCAGTCACTCCCAGGAGGCTGACCAGGAACCAGGCAGGAAGTGGAAATACCAGCTGAGCTGTGAGGCCCAGCACTGCTGCCAGCCTGGCTCTCAGACCAACGCTGCTTGCTGCTCATGTTTCTTGTCTCTGTAGCTGACAAAAGGAAACCATTTACTCTAACTTGCACTCTGCTTTTCAGAAACACAAATACACTTTTTTCCATAGAAGTAGGTTGCCCTTAAAAAGGGGGACAAATAGTACATTTGAAATAACTTTCTCAGAATTGGAAACTGATTCAGTCTTTATATGTTTATGGCAGCAGGAATATTTGCAAACTGTAAAAAATGTTACCAGAAATCCACTAATCACATCAGCCGACTTGGACTATGGACCATTAAAATAGATCCTTTTACCACTGAGTCTGCTTCTATATAATAATCTTTCAGCCAGCATTATTTCTGAATTAGCTCATTGGCTACTACCCTCAAATGAGTTTAGGAGCCGGTGTTGTGGCCTAGTGGTTAAAGCTGTCACCTGTGTCACCCGTGTCCTCTATGGGTGCTAGTTTGAGTCCCGGCTGCTCCTCTTCCAATCCAGCTCCCTGCTAATGGCCTGGGAAAGCAACAGAAGATGGCCCACGTGCTTGGGCCCCTGCAACCATGTGGGAGACCAGGAAGAAGCTCCTGGCTCCTGCCTTAGGCCTGGCCCCACACTGGCTGTTGTGGCCATTTGGGGAGTGAACCAGTAGATGGAAGGGCACACTCTCTGTGTCTCTCCTGGTCTCTGATTTTCAAATGTAAATAAATTATTTAAAAAAAAAACAAGTTTATTTTTCCAGTAGCATTTTGAATGACTCATACACATGTGAAAGAATGGAGAATTTTATAAATCTGTTTTAAAATCTTAAAAATGTATCTACATTATAACCATTATCCCAAAGGCCCTAGATAATTAGGGCTCAGTTCCAGGGTCGCAGAGCTGACCTCCAGAGGGGCCCTTGCTTTAGAGAGGAGCTTCTCTAAGCAGGTGAATAGCGTTGCCACCGAAACCTCATTCTGCACTTTTCCCCTGAAAACACCATGGGTACTCCGTCAAGGCACATCTCTCCTCAACATTTTTCATCATGTATTACTATCCACATGTTTACATGTTAACATATAAAGTAATTGGGATCATATGCTGGTTTTTTTGTTTTTAATTTGAAAGGTAGGCAGACAGAGAAAGAGTCGGACAACAAGAGTTCTCCCGTCTGTTGGCTTACTCCCCAAATGCCTCTAACAGCAAGTTCTAGGCCAGGCTAAACCAGGAGCCAGGAACTCAATGGCAGGAACCCACCTACTTGAACTGCCTCCTGCTGCCTCCCTGGGTGCACATTAGCCGGAAGCTGGAGTCAGGAGCAGAGCCAGGACTCGGTCCCAGGCGCTCCATGCTGGATGTGGACATACCAAATGGCGTCTCAACAGCTAGACCAGAAGTCCCCCATTTTTGTTTTTTGGTGCCTATATAATATATATATATTATATATATTTATTATTTTTCTATTGAAGGACATTCATTTTGTTTGTAGTTTTTATTGATTTTACCACTTTCAACAAAGTTAATAAACATCCCTGTGCAGATATCTTTCCACACTCGAGTTTTCTTTCTGTCAGAGAGATTGGCAGCAGAGGGAGTGCTGGGTAGAAGACCAATGCATTTTTTTTTAATAATCATTGCCATGCTGCTTTCCATAAAGGCTGCAACACTTGCCATTTCTATTGACAATGTATGCAACTATCCTTCTCCTCCATTCCAGCCCACTGCTAGGTGTTACTGGTCCAACAGAAATAAGGTGATGTCTTATTTGAAAAGATGTCCCACCTCCAGATAGAAGTCACAATAACTTTTGGCCACTTAGAGTTGCTATTTTTTAGCTGCCTGCTCATATTTTTTGTCCTTTTGTATCTATTGGGTGTTTATATTTTTATGACAAGTATAAATCCTATTTATGGTATCTTCTGCCATATAATGTGTTTTCTACAGTCATATATATGAGTACATACAAACATATGTGTATGTGTTCAAATCACACTGTATCATCTTTCTATCTACTCTTAACCTTATCTTTCCCCTCAGCACTTAGTACCATTTTCTAATGTCAGTGAATATGCACTACATCTGGATAGTAACAGTCTAATTTAATTACGGTAACCACAGTATTAATTCAGTCCCCTCTAGTAGGTCATCTACATTGTTATAAAATACTGCCCATTTAATTTTTAAAATTTTCACTTTATTTGACAAGCAGAGAGACAGAGACAGAGGAATTGTCCATTCATTATTTTACTCCCCAAATGTCCACAATAGCCAGGACTAGACTGGGCCAAAGCCAAGAGCCCAGAAGTCAATCCAGGTGTCCCCCATGAGTGGCAAGGACCTAAGTGTTTGAGCCATCAATGGCTGCTTCTCAGAGTGTGTGTCAGCATGAAGCTGGATCATAACCGGAGTAGACTGCACTCTGATACAGGATATGGGTGTCCCAAGTGATGACTTAACCGCTGTGCCAAAGTCCTGCCCCAAATACTGCCCATTTCCACAGTGTGATAACTATATGCATTTCTGAGCCCAATTATGCTCTCTTGGCGTCTTTACAGGAAGAAGTGGGGGCAGGTGGGAAGAAAAATGCAAACAAACAGGAAGATTCTCTACAAGTGACACTCCCATGTGAAGGAAAATGGCATAGCCCAAAATGTATAGGCTGTCGTATACTATCAGTGTTTTTTATTTGCACAGATAATCTTAGCATTAATTCTGTTAGGTAAGTTCTTTCTTTCTTTCTTTTTTTTTTTTTTTTGACAGGCAGAGTGGACAGTGAGAGAGAGAGACAGAGAGAAAGGTCTTCCTTTGCTGTTGGTTCACCCTCCAATGGCTGCCGTGCTGCAGCCAGTGCACCGCGCTGATCCGATGGCAGGAGCCAGGTGCTTCTCCTGGTCTCCCATGGGGTGCAGGGCCCAAGCACTTGGGCCATCCTCCACTGCACTCCCCAGCCACAGCAGAGAGCTGGCCTGGAAGAGGGGCAACCAGGACAGAATCTGGCGCCCCGACCGGGACTAGAACCCGGGGTGCCGGCGCCGCAAGGCGGAAGATTAGCTTAGTGAGCCGCGGCGCCGGCCATATATACAATATATAATATTATTATATATACTATATAATATATAGTATATATTATATACTATATAACATGTTATATATATTATATATACTATATATTATGCATCATATATCAATATTTATATATATTACATACTTATATATTATGTTTATATATTGTGTAATTATATATCATATATTATCATGTATAATACATGTTAATATTTATATTTTACATAATTTATACATCAATATCAATATGATAATATGTAATATAATACATATAATATATATTATATTATATGCATAGTATATAATACAGTATATATTATATATAATATATTCATATATATTAATAATGTATTATATGATTTATGTTTTGTATATTTATGTTATATATAAATATAAATAATGTATAATATATTTATAAAGTATATTTAATATATATTTATATTTTAACAGAAGAGCAAATATAGTAATAGCATTGTTGAGTGTTTTCTATGTGCCAGCTTGTGTTCTTAAATGCTTGAAATGCTTGATACTCAATAAAGAGATTAAATAACTTGTCTAAAGTCACACAGCTAAGAAATGAAGACCTTAGGATTTGCACCCAGGCAACCTGTCTTTAGGGTTGGACTCCTAACCCCTAGCGACACTGCCTCTCCACTGGGTTAAGTGAGTTCCCAGCCACTTAATGACAAAGCCGGGACTTGAATCCATGTCTCACAGGCTCTAAAGCCTATGTTCTGTGACTTTAGTTACAAACAACAATAACTCTTTTACAAACAACAGAAAAAGTAAAAGAGAAAGGAAAAGGGTTAAGTCTCCGCCTATAATGCCAGCATCCCATCTGGGTGCTGGTTCAAGTCCCAAGTGCTCTGTTTTTGATGCAGTTCCCTGCTAAGGCACCTGGGAAAGCAGCAGAAGATGGCCCAAGTCCTTGGGCCTTTGCCACACATATGAGACCCAGATGGAGGTCTGGGCTCCTGGCTTTGGCTTGGCCCAGCCCCAGGCCTGGCTGTTGCAGTCATTTGGAGAGCGAACCAGCAGACAGAAGATCTCCCTCTCAGTGTCCCCCCAGCCCCCATCTCCCTCCCCGCTCTCTGTAACTCTGCCTTTTTTTTTTTTTTTTAATTTTAATTTTTTTTTTTTTGACAGGCAGAGTGGACAGTGAGAGAGAGAGAGAGACAGAGAGAAAGGTCTTCCTTTGCTGTTGGTTCACCCTCCAATGGCCGCCGCAGCCATCGCGCTGCGGCCGGCGCACCGCGCTGATCCAAAGGCAGGAGCCAGGTACTTCTCCTGGTCTCCCATGGGGTGCAGGGCCCAAGCACCTGGGCCATCCTCCACTGCACTCTCTGGCCACAGCAGAGAGCTGGCCTGGAAGAGGGGCAACCGGGACAGAATCCGGCGCCCCGACCGGGACTAGAACCCGGTGTGCCGGCGCCGCAAGGCGGAAGATTAGCCTAGTGAGCCGCGGCGCCGGCCTTGTAACTCTGCCTTTCAAACAAATAAATAAACAAAACATAAACTACCTTTATATCATCTAGGAATTCAATGTCTTTCTTCTGGATTGCTTTATTTATCCATATTAAGGCGCTGTAGGTCTTGGTCTTTTCTTCTTCACCTTCTTTCATGTGTCCTATTGCCTCTCTAAACAGACACAACAAAACAAAGTTTGTCTAAATATATAAAATACTACAAGCCTTGCCCAAAAATTCCCTTTAAGAATAGCTCTATTGAGATAATAAATGCAATTACCCCATTTGAACTACAATTCAATGAATTTTTGTAGGTTTACAGAACTGTGCACCTGTCACCACAATCTCATTTTAAAATACTTTCAGAACTCCCCCCAAAGAAACTCCGTTAGCCATTAGCAGTCACTTCCCATTCCCCTTGAACTTCTGCCCTGGGTAACCGCTAATCAACCTTCTGTCTCTATAAATTTTCCTATTATAAACATTTCCTATAAAATGGAATCACATAGCATGGTGGTGTTTGGTGACTGGCTTCTTTCAAGTCATAGTATTTCCAAGGCTCATTCATGTACCAAGGCTTAGCTCCTTTTAATTACCAAATGATATTCCATTGTATGGATACACAATAATCGATGGTTTCAGTTAACTGCAGCCAACTGCAGTCCAAAAAAATTAAATGGTAAATCCCAGAAACACAATTAATAAGTTTTAAATAACCCTCATTTTAGTACATTGTTCTATTGTTGTTTTGTTATTGTTAATCTCTTACTCTGCTTCATTTATAAATTAAACTTTACCACAGCTATGTACATATAGGAAAACACAGTTTATATAGAGTTTGGTACTAGCAGGTCTTGCAACGTATGCCCCAGATAAGGGGGAACGACTAAATTCCATGTTATTCATCTGCACACCTTTGGGGAGTTTCTACTTCTTTGCTGCTATAAATAATGCTACTATGAACACTCACGTCCATGCCTTTGTGTGGATGTGCGTTCTCATTTCTCTTGCATATTCAATACCTAGAAATGGTTGCTGGGTCACAGGGTAACTCTCACGTTTGACCTTTTGAGAAACTGCCAAACTGTTCCGCGCCGATCCGAAGTCAGGAGCCAGGTGCTTCCTCCTGGTCTCCCATGCGGGTGCAGGGCCCAAGCACCTGGGCCATCCTCCACTACCTTCCCAGACCACAGCAGAGAGCTGGACTGGAAGAGGGGCAACCGAGACAGAATCCAACGCCCCGACCGGGACTAGAACCCGGTGTGCTGGCGCCGCAAGGCGGAGGATTAGCCTAGTGAGCCGTGGCACTGGCCCTGTTTTCTGTCTTTTTAACAACAGCCATCCTAGTGGGCACAAACTGAGATCTCACTGTGATTCTCATTTGCATTTCTGTGATGACCTGTGATGCTGAACATTTTCTCACATGTCTATTGGCTGTTGGTATCCTCCTTGGAGAAATGGCTATTTAATGGTTTCTCCATTTTAATTGGTTTGTTAGAGTTTGTTTATATTCTGGAGACAACTCCCTTATCAGATATTTGATCTGCCCCCTCCCTCCTGAAATCATCGCTGGTTAGCCCACCCCTCACCTTGTCACAAGCTGCAGGTCACGCACTTGGATCTTATTAGATGACTTATTAATTTTCTGTAGTAAGAGAAAGGAAAAAGCAGTCAGCAACTGTGCTCCGTTACAGAGCTGGAGACGTGACGCCTCCCCGTCCCCCGTGCTTTACCTGCTGCAGCTCCTTAATTTCTCGGGCAGTGAAGTGTATTCTGTGCGGGTTCACCAGCTCCACTGCAAAGGGCCTCCCTGGCAGCGCACAGCGGTCAGGAAAGAGAAGCGTGTTGAGGGAGTTACCGTGCGAGCGAAGGCACCAGGGGTTAGAGGCACGAAAGTCGTGTTGAGCTCTAGAGGACTAAGAGTGAGTGACAGCGCTACAGCTGGGACAGGGAAGAATGTGTGAAAAGAAATCAAGGAGCTCTGGGGGAGGCGAGGGCTGGAAACCTGCACGTGGGCAGCAGGTGAAAATGACTGCTTCCCCGAGCTCCAGACAAGCCTGTGGTAATTACCAAATAAAACTCCAACAGCCACTAATTAAAGAACATAACGCAGTCCCACACAGCCATGCCCAGGTACACCGAGCTGAAATCCCATCTTCCTGGTGTAACCCACTAGTGACCTGGAAAGGCCGTGACTTCACGACAGGGAGGCGGACAGACCTCACACAGTTCTCATCAGCTTCCTTGTAAGGCAACTAGGCAGAAGGTGAGCCCTGAATGCTCGGAGCAGATTCACTTTCTCAATGGAGATGTACATTCCGGAAACTGTACTGGTACTTCTGAAACGCTATTAAGTGGGACAATCAATAATCCAACTTTTGGGGAAAAAAACATCGGGCTCTCCTTGTCGGTAAACATGAAAGCCCCTTGTCACTGGAGGCGTGTCAGGGCGGCCCCCACCGAAATGACTCCTGCTAAGACGTGTATAATGCAGGTGATAAAGGGAGCTCCGTGCTCCACAAAGACGTCTCCACTGGAGAAGCTTGGGGCCGTGGGCACTCTGGTTCTGGCTAAGCTGCCGAGAAAGGGTGAGGATCGAAGACTGTTCTAGTCTGGTAACGCTAGGGTGATCTTACCATTTCCTAATGTTCTCACGTCTACATCTTCTCTTCCAGAGGATGAAAAATTAAAACCTTTGGGAAACAGATAAAACAAGTCAGACATAATTGCCCTAAGATATTGGTTCCTAATCTTTGCTGGAAACCCAGTAAAAGGGCTTGAGTAATATACAGGAGAACCCCAAGGGACAGTCATCTTCCCTCCTCTTACCCAGGTCTCTGCTAAAAATAGTAATGGTAATGATAAATACCGTTTACTGAGTACTTATTATCCTCCAGGCATTAGAGTAAAAATAATGCGTAATTTTATTTAGTTCTTATTACAACCTTATGAAGCAGGTATGCACTCCCTGCTAGTGCATTTGGGAAAGCAGCAGAAGATGGCCCCATTCCCTGGCCCCCTGCCACTCATGTGTGAGACCCAGAAGTTGTTCCTGGCTTCCAACTGGCTCAGCCCCAGTTATTGCAGCCACTTGGGGAATGAACCATGGATTGAAGATTTCTCTCTCCTTGTCTCTCCCTTTCTCTTTCAAATAAGTAAATCTTTAAAGGGGGGGGGGGGTTGGGGGGCCGCACTATGGCATAGTAAGCTAAATCACCTGCAGCACTGGCATCTGATATGGGCGCCAGTTCATGTTCTGGCTGCTCCACTTCTGATCCAGCTCTCTGCTATGGCCCGGGAAAGCACTGGAAGATGGCTCAAGTGCTTGGGCCCCTGCACCTGCATGGGAGATCCAGAAGAAGCTCCTGGCTCCTGATCAGCTCAGCTCCAGCTATTATGGCCATTTGGGGAGTGAACCAGTGGATGGAAGGCCTCTCTGTCTCTAAACTCTACCTCTCAAATAAATAAATAAAATCTTAAAAAAAAAAAAAAATAGGTAATTTCCCCAAGGTCACACAGTTCAATGGCAGAGTGAGGTGTCTTTCATGTCAAAGCCAGACCCTGACTATCAACAATTTCATGGGCAGAGAGAGCACTGTTTGGAAAATGATCCCACCACTACCCTGGCCACAACCTTATAGTGAAAACCCTATCAATCTTTCTTTCCTTAAAACAAAACAAAAACATTCATTAAAAATTAAACTCCATGAAAGAAAGGAGAACAAAAACTGTTTGACTCTAAAAGGCAAGTTCATCATTTAATCAAACCTAAACTGAGTCTGTATATTAGCTATTTCAAAATCCAAATCAAGGGCAAGAATTATCAGACATGATAAATACTCAGCTAAGCTGCAGTGGCCCTTATCCCAGGGCTGGGGGCAAGGGGAACACACAGCGGGACTAAGAGAGAGATGGGCAGATGTCAGATGATGAAAGCCCAGAATATCAAGTAGTTTGGATTTTATCCTGTAGCCAGTCACTGACCAGATTTCACCAGGGAACTGATGTGACAAAGAATGACTCAGTAAGAGAAGTCATAATTGTATTAGGGGAAAATTTCTTTGAAACAATGATTTTGAGAGTGTGTTTAAACTCTGTTACTCATTAACTAGGGAATTAGCAAGTAGACAACATGATGTGCTGGTTCGAAGTGACTGTGAAACAGGTGTGCATACCCACTCAGGGCACATAATACTAGTTCACCTCACAGAGAGGTAAAACTTAGAACTCTCTTCCTAGACTTGTCACATGTGGACCATTAATCAGAAGTATCAAGTGTTATATCTGAGAAGCATGCGATTAGCAAAGGGCAGCCGTGAATCAGGGAGTTCAGCCAACCAGGTTTTACAGTCTGGCCCGCAGCCAGTTGGCACAAAGGCCCAGAGCTGTGCTGTGCCCAGGAGCTGTCCATCATCTTCAGATGCTGAGCTCACAGACTGCGCTCAGTCTGGGGGTGGTCGTCCCCACTCCGGTGAAAGATGGCCACAAAGCACCCTCACGACAGAGTGCAGCGGGGTGAGGGCAGAACGCACACTGTGCCAAAGCCTCCGCAGCTACTCTTCTTCTAGAAAGGGGGTAAGGTGGCCCCAAAAAGACTTTGAGAGAGACTTTTTGTGCCAATGCCTTATTTTTACTTCTTCACAACTTGCCTAAGTGTTATCACCAGTTAGTTGAAGTTAGGTAGACAAATACTCATGGCAATAGCCCAGTCTTTACTGCTAAGGTTCTGGGAAACTGTTGGGTGGCTGGGTTGATTTCTTCTCCATTCAGTAAACAATTCTTAAAGACCCTTAGAAACAGGCCCACCTACCTGATAGGCAATGAACTGTAAGAGTGCTGAAGTCTGAAGGGCTCCCCCCTTCCCAAGTCATTCCCAAAGCCCTGTCATTCCCAAAGCACACTCATCTTACGCTTGTCCAGACAGAAGGATGGATGTCTCCACAAAAGATTTTTCTAATTGTACTAGGAGCCCCTTGCCAAAGAGTGACATCACTCTCTGATATTTTTCCTGACGTGTGACGTGATTTCCATCAGTCGAAATCTTAGTCCCTTTTCTCTTATCTAACCCTGGGTGAAACCAGATTTTACATTGCCTATGGCCTGACAGGTCTGTTGAGAAAAGGAAAACATAAGCCTGGAAGGACCTGGCTCACCCCACAAACTGGACTCATTAATACCCAAGAAATGAAAACACAACACAGCTGCCTTAAGTCTTTGTAAAATGGTTACTGTTGATTTTTTCTAGGCCTGAACTTTATCGCTGGAAAATGTATAGGTGACCTCAGAAGTCACACATTTACAAGTGATTATTCTTAACAAGCACTGGATGTGGACATTGTGTTTCAACTTCCTCACATTCCCCGCAAAAAGGCCAAGGCTGATGTGTGCCAAGGCCAAGGCTGAAGCCCTTTCAAGCCATTTCAAGTAGCTTCAGTTGCTTTGATTTCACCAGGAGTAAGCAGTCACCTTGAGACAGGGAACACCTTGGGCACCTGGATCAAAGTCCAGCCCAGGCTACAGAAGTCCTGGACATGATGATCCCTGTGCGGCCAAGGGGCCTAGACTTGGTGGTGGTTAACCTAATACAGAAATCAATTCATGAATGACAGCAGATTGAACATACAAGTATTACAGCACCTACTCTCTGCTTTGAATTCTGTCAGCAAATGATCTGAAATTAATTCTTCCACCGACGATTCCAGTTTCCTTTCGCCATCAATGATCCAAGGAGTTTGTGGGAGATTCCTGGAGTATTTATTGTATCTCCCTGCCAAAGAAATGTCAGGCAGCCTGAATGGAATGGTGTGATTAACACAGTAGGATAAAAAGAAAAGCAGCAATTATTCGATGAGTGCCAATAGCCTAAGTGCTGGGTCATAAATCAAGACCTCATCTTAAGTAATTTGGGAAGCCAGAACATGGACATATAGATATTTAGGTAAAAAGGTTTAAAGTAGCAACAGAACAGACAAGTAAAGACATGATACGAATAATGCATTAAATGAGTTTGAAAGAAATGCTCAATATATTAATCTGATTAGTGAACTGAGTTATAGAATATTTAATTACTTTATTATTGTAATATAATTATTATATAATATTGAAGAATGCACCAAAGATCGTAAATAAAAAACTATTGCTTTTACACTTCATTTATAATGTACTACTCATTAGTGATAACGTATGCCAAAGAATTCAAACACAGGAAATTTTGAAGTGTTTCTAAGTTGAAACAAAACAAACAAAACAAAAAACCCTAACAGAACATGACTCCTTCACCACTAGATGAGTAAAGCCACACCAAGGTGGGCAGCTCTCATCGCCTGAGGGCAGGATATTGTAATGAAAGCTAAAGAGCAATTTCGTTTTAGCTATTACTACGAAACAGCTGGAACTTTCAAAACAAAATCTGCCTACTTAGATTACCTCTTGGGAAAGTCAATGTAACAGTTTTTTTTTTTTTTTAAGGTGGAAGTCAAGTGTTTAGTCATTTTGGCAATACTGAAATTACTTTTTCAAGTTTTCTTTCCTATTATAAAACCATTCTCTGTGCTGCTTTCTCCTGACAGTTTCTGGTCGCTACATCTGCTAATATTTTTATTCAGCCATCTCTGATGAAAACTACTAACACCTAGCAACTGACATTGCATCTTAAGTAACAAATATCTGGTAGGAATGCTTATAGAACCTAAAGTCTGGTTATCAGTTCTACTTCTCAAAAGAGTAGATGAGTAAGAACCCAATAACAGCAGTAAGAATTTAACAGAAAAGGAGTCGCTTTTCAGAAAGGACAGTAAGTTTGACAGTGAATGTAGATTCCAGACTAAATATTTTACCAGCCACAAAAACAGCACCATGAGCACATTCAATTTCAAGAACAGTGCATACGGCCTTTGGTGAGTTTGGAGGACAAGGAAACTGCCTGCAAAACAAAATAAATTTTACAGCTACTATTTTCCAGATGCAATACTGAATCACAAAACCAACATGAATCGGCATCGTCCAAGACACACACGCAGCCTGAGCGTCACAAGGCCTAACCTGCTCCCTGTCTGAGTTCCCGAACAGGAAGGCCTGTCAGGTGGGAGCACACCACTTTCTACACCTGTGGTTGGTGTTCAGTGAATCAGGGTCTCACTGCTACCTCTGATGCTCAGGAGGCCTCATCTTCACAGATGGGAATTTCCAACAGCCTTGAGATTTGCAGAAATAATCTGGATCTTCGCAGAGGAAACCCCTTTGGGCGCATTAGCCAGTGTGCTACCCTGGGTCACCTGCTGCTGGCTTTCATGACAGCAATCTCTGGGTAGTGTTGCCAGGCAGTGTGAAGCTGGTCATATGATTAAGTCCCACCCAGAAGGAAGTGTGCTACCATTTTTCTGTTTCCTTCTCATTCTAACTACTATCCTGTGAATTAGACCCCAGAGCCAGCAAAGATGGAATGGAGCTGACACTGCCCTCTGCTAAGAAACTGAAATCCAGCTGAAGACAGGAAAGAACAAGGATGACTTTATTCTCTGTCCACCACGCAGAAATTTCTATAGCCACTGACTGGAGTCTACTTGTAAATGACTACATATGGACATAACCCCAAATGCATGGCTTGAAAATTTCATATGGTTTCCCAAGATCACTTAACAAATCAATCATTCAGGAAAACTTAGGCATTATTGGCTGTAGAGTAACTACCTCTACTTTCTCAAATTTAACAAAAAAACTTCCTGAGATTCAATTTTAGTCAATAAAAGACATGAAATTCTCCTTGCACTGTCATTGCTTTATATTCAAATATCTTCGGAAGGATAACTACAGTGACATCTGACTTTATAAAATGAATGCCCTGAGAATTAACATATATAAGACTAATTGTACAAAGTGGCTCTCAGCATATTTACGTCTTAGAAAAGGATATCAGTGACTACAGAGGGAGCTCAGCTGCCTAAGATTTCAACTGGGAGATAGACAGTGGCCTAGAGCCAGATTTCCTGAGTCTCTGACCACTGCTATTGCTGCGACATCCCTAATCCTGGACTTCCCACTATAGTCCATGTTCAGCTGAGGGAAGAGAAGGCTCTGCTGAGTTTGCTCACCTGTGATAGGAATAGCACAGGGCTGGAGTGTTAAGAAATCTGCCTCTCGGTCACTCTCTACTCCCAGTTGATCTTGGGCAGGTCAACTCTCTCTTGGGTCGGTAGTACACTTACCGAACAGTACTACATTCCAAGTACTGTGCCACAAACTGGGGGTCTCACAGTGACTAAGACTGAGTTCTGGTTCCTGAAATACATCCAGTCCATCCCCTTTATTCTAAAAACTCCATGATACTTCTTTGTTTCAATACTTCTACTTACTTCCGGAAATCCTCTTCTTTTATCTTATTCAAAGCTTTCATAACTGCCATTCTAGTGAATATAGACTAGAGCAGGGTAAAATGAAAAGAAAAAGCATTATATCACCTAGAGAAGAAAACATCAGAGGTGACACAAAGAGCATGGTTGGAAAACTGCATCATTTTATATACTTGAAGGAGAGAATTCCTTGTTCCCTCAGACCTCAAGGGGGATTTGGTTGATGCATCTAACCTTCATTCCCTGCATTCCAGTGGAAACCTCGCATGTGCTTGAGGAGACGGCTGCCAGGGTTACAGACAAAGCAGCCAACCAGCCTGCCTGGCACCTGTCAACTCGACAGCCCTCACCAGCCACAAAGCAAGTCCACTGCACTGAACGGAAGAGCGTCTACACAAATGTCTCACTTGGGATTTTTTAAAATAAAAGCCAAGCTACATGGTAGACATATGAGAATTAATTCATGTATGTAATCATGGCTATGATAAATCACAATTGTTTCTTCTGTTATGAGAAATTATATTCACTTAAAGGAGCAAAATGTAAGCATCTTAACAGTTTATCACCAAAGCAATGTTTTTCTTTTTCTCTAAAGATTTATTTGAAAGGCAAAGTTGCAGAGAGGTAGAGGCACAGGCAGAGACAGAGAGAGAGAGAGGTCTTCCATCCACTAGTTCACTCCCCAGATGGTCCCAACGGCCAGAGCTATGCCGATCCGAAGCCAGGAGTTTCCTCCGGGTTTCCCGTGCAGGTGCACTTGGGCCAACTTCAACTGCTTTCCCAGGCCAGAGCAGAGAGCTGGATTGGAAGTGAAGCAGCCAGGAAATGAACCAGCATCCATTTGGGATGCCAGCACGGCAGGCGGCTGCTTTATCCATTAGGCCACAGCGCCAGCTCCAAAGCAATGTTTTTCAAACTATATTCTGGGGAATTTTAGGAAGTTCTGCAAGGTACAATACGGTTAGAACTGGAGCTAGAGTTGTGGCAAAGCAGGTTAAGCTGGTACAAAGTGTCGGTTCACGTCCTAGCTGCTAAGCTTCAGATCTAGCTCCCTGCTAATGTACCTGGGAAGGCAAAGAAAAATGGCCTAAGTGTTTAGGCCCCTGTCACTCATATGGGAGACCTGGATGGAGTTCCTGGCTCCTGGCTTCAACCTGGGCTGTAGTGGCCATCTGGGGAATGAACTAGCAGATGCAACATGTCTTTCTTTCTCTCTCTCCCTCTCTCTGTTGCTCTGCCTTTCAAATGAAATAAATAAACCTTAAAAAACAAATAGGATGGGCCAGCGCCGCTGCTCAATCGGCTAATCCTCCGCCTGCGGCGCCGACACCCCGGATTCTAGTCCCGGTCAGGGCACCAGGTTCTGTCCCAGTTGCTCCTCTTCCAGTCCAAGTCTCTGCTGTGGCCTGGGAAGGCAGTGAAGGATGGCCCAAGTCCTTGGGCCCTGCACCCACATGGGAGACCAGGAGAAGCACCTGGCTCCTGGCTTCGGATCAGTGCGGTGTGCCGGCCGCAGTGGCCATTGTGGGGTGAACCAACAGAAAAAAGGAAGGCCTTTCTTTCTGTCTCTCTCTCACTGTCCACTATGCCTGTCAAAAAAAAAAAAAAAAAAAAAATAGGATGGGGCCAGCGCTGTCCTGAATTGCTGGCATCCCATATGGCCACCAGTTCTAGTCCCGGCTGTTCCTCTTCCAATCCAGCTTTCTGCTATGGCCTGGGAAAGCAGTAGAAGATGGCCCAAGTCCTTGGGACCCTGCACCCATGTGGGAGACCCGGAGGAAGTTCCTGGCTCTTGATCGGCGCAGCTCCAGCCGTTTGCGGCCATCTGGGGAGTGAACCAGTGGAAGGAAGATCTCCTTCTCTCTCTCTCTCTGCCTCTCTTCTCTCTGTGTTACCCTGACCTAAATACCTAAATAAATAAATCTTAAAAAAAAAAAAAGTAGGATTAGAACTAAAAATCAAGTGCCTATCTGATAAGACATGGAATCTAGGCCTCTCAAAAGGTCACTCAGTTCACTAGGCTAATCCTCTGCCTTGCGGCGCCGGCACACCAGGTTCTAGTCCCGGTCGGGGCACCGGATTCTGTCCCGGTTGCCCCTCTTCCAGGCCAGCTCTCTGCTGTGGCCAGGGAGTGCAGTGGAGGATGGCCCAAGTGCTTGGGCCCTGCACCCCATGGGAGACCAGGAGAAGCACCTGGCTCCTGGCTTTGGATCAGTGAGGTGAGCCGGCCGCAGCGCGCCAGCAGTGGCGGCCATTGGAGGGTGAACCAACGGCAAAGGAAGACCTTTCTCTCTGTCTCTCTAACTGTCCACTCTGCCTGTCAAAAAAAAAAAAAAAAAAAAAAGGTCACTCAGTTTACCGTTTACTCCCAGCCATGAGGCAAGAAAAAGACATTTGAGACTCTACAACTCCTACTGGAGAAGTGGTGTGGTGGCTATGACGGTTGTACAAAAATCTGCTTGTCTGATTATTTGATGCTGGCACTTGCATATTTCCTCAAAGGTAACAAAAAGTGAAACCAGACAACAAGATGTCAATCCCTTTAGCCGACAAAGACGGCCATGCAGAGTCTGGGACAGTAACACACCAGGCCTGTCACTTCCAATCTGGAGCGATGTCGCCCATTAACCTTGGGGTGCTGAACACCCATGGGAAAGCCAAGGAGCCCATGCAGCGAGGAAAGCAGGGCCACACTACCTCAGGCCTAGTCTGCATTTCTCATTATCTCTGCACAGAGTATTTGACAAATGTGACAAACACCTCTCCCCAGTTTTAAAAGGCCCGTAATTAGTCAAAACAAGAGGAAAAACCAATGATACATTCTCATGTATCCTATTATTTTTAACAACTCTTAACAACAAATGGATGTCATGAAAACTGTAGATGACTGACTATATGAAATCAGCTAAATAACTAGGGTGTGAACAATTGCCAGTGCCATGCCATGCCATTCTGTCCCAGTGTAATATATTAAAGCACCTCTAATGTGCTTGCTTATTAATGTGAAGCCCAGCTAGTATTGGACAGCAAAGGAGATTTTGAATAAAATGCCTCTTTTGCAAACATAGCTTACAATAAGCTAAATACTTTACTATCCCTAATTTGAAAATCCAAAATCCACATCAAGGAGGCTCAACATGTAAAGTGTAGCAAATACTCCAAAATCTCAAACAATACAAAAATATCTGAAACATGAAACATTTCTGGTCCAAAGGATTTTAGACAAGGGATACTTAACCTGAATTAAGGACTATCCTAAATAAAATTATTAATTTTGGATTATGTTTTTAAAACACCAATTTCTAGGAAATGGATACCAGACTAAAGTTTGGAATGCTACCGATACTTTGAACAGATTTTCCCAGATGATGTAATTTGAGGAATTAAAATCTAAAAGTTGGATTTCCCCAAATGGGTAATAGTAACACCACTGAAACACTGATTCTAAATTAGGTGAACCAGTGAGACAAGTCAGACACCGACAAAAATTTGAGGATGTTTCTGTGCTATAACTTCCTTACCAGATGCAAAGTTGCTAATAGTTAAAAAAAATTACAATAATAAATGGAGCAAATGGGAATATTTAAAAATTGATTCTTGGTGTCATAGAGTTACCACATTTCAATGTATATCCTTTTAAATAGTTATTTGAACAAACAAATGAGAAAACACTCACTAAATAATAAGAAGTTGAAATCTTTACCTGTTTGTTTTTGGCTGGCTTGAAACAATCTGGGCAGACTGTACCTCTAAAATGAAATTCAAGTTAATGTAAAGGTAAATGAGTTTATTTAGGGGTAGATGTAATTCAAATATACTTTATACAACATGGCTGTTAAACTCAGGGCATCAAAAGCAGACAAAAATCAATCTTTACGCAAGCTGCATTGGTTTGCCTAAGAACCTTGTATTACAGCACACATTTTAAACCTACAACAACATGACATGCTCATTAGAAAGAGAAGCAACACTATTTTCATGAAAACCAAAAAAGATGAGTGATTTCACACAATTGACATTGTTGTTCATGTGGCAACTTACAGGAAGTGGCAATCCTCAACTGTTTCTGGGTGAGCAAAGACCACACTCACTTCAAACAAGCTCTAAAAATTATAAAGACAGTTTACAAATGAGCAAAAGGAAACTCACATCTAACAACTTATGAATGGAAATAGACATGAACTCTCAAAGGCTGGCTCTGAAAAAGGGTGACAAGGAAAACTGGAAACACTGCTGTTCTCACATCAGCTTGCTCAAGGAGCAACCGGGAAGGAAAGTGTGGTTGGGTTTGGGTGTGTGTGTGTGTGTTTGTGTGTGTTAACTTCTGAAACTCAGTCACAATGATACTGCCAAAAAATTTTTTAACTAAATTTCAAAATAAATGTGTATGTTTGGGGACAAATATGCAAATTAGATGTGAAGATAAAAGAAGAATTCAGGGAATTGAAAAAAATGAAGAACAATTCTGTTGATACCATGATTAGGATTATCAGCAAGGAAAACAACATTGTACTCACATCCTTAAAAACTACCTAACAAGCTTCTTTGGAGAGAATCAAATTTCTTGACGGATTTGAGTTTTAAAAGAGTCATGTTAGTTTTTTGTTTTATTATAAAAGCCATACATGTACATTATAAAGCGATCAAGCATAGGATGGCTTTTGACCCCTTGGACTGAGGCAGAACTATTAACAATTTGATGCGTTTCTAGGCATTTTGATGAATATAAACATATGCATATATACTTTTTCGGGTATTAGGTATGTTTTTAGGAAACCAACTTATTTAATATTATCCCATGGACATCTTTTTCAGCTCCAGGAATTATCAGACATTTAAACTGCAGAATATTTTTGTTATTAAAAAATGCTACAGTAAACATTCTTGTACATCAAAAAAGTACAATTTCATACTCTCTGTACTTTTACCTCTACAGAGAATTCCCCATTGAACAAAAGCTATAAATGTCATACCAGGTACAACTGTCTTTTTTACTGAATTCTGTGTTTATTGGTTTTATATTTATTGATTTCACTGAATTGTCAGCAAGCCTATTAGCTACTCTAGAATCATAATAATGAATAGCTTCTTCTTTGTTCCTTATTCTAATCTACAAAACAAAATTAAAAGGGACATTTCTTTATTCAAAAAACATCTCACTTGGCCTGAATCTATTAGAACATTACATCTTTTGTTTTCTATTTTCTGTTCTCACTGATTCAACATGTAAATATATTTGTGCTTCAAAACTGAAATTTGAGGTAAAAATATTTTGCATTAATGACTTCTCTAATTTCCAAAGTACTTTCATTACCTCATTTCCTCTTCATACTATCTGTGAAGTGGTTTTATTCTCTATTCTCTCAGTATTCAGTTTAAAGAACAGTCAGAGCTTATTCTTACTCACAGAAGGAAACAGAGCTATATGATTCAGAGTGGCTAAAAAATAAACTATGTAGCTTTATGATTTTGTTAGATAGTTTGTAATTTTATTTCAGTAAGGGCGCATCTGATATTCAGGGAATTTCTTTCAAGCAAAATAATGAAACAATGAGGCCATAGTATTAAAACTAATTTAAACTATACTGAAATTGTTAAAAACTAAATAAAATTTTATAAATATTACAGATTAAAAATAAATAAATAAATAAAATCAAATTTAAGATAAGCTAGGAATATGTTTGGTTTCCACATCTGGAAACCCTCTGAGACTCAATCCATTCCAGAGACTGAAGCCAGGTCTTCCCCGCAGTAGGAAAGATGGCCAAGTGTTCTGGTTCTCAAGGCAGTCTCTGTCCAAAAGTTGCCAGAGGAATCTGAGACCCCAGGAGTGTGGATTCTCACTGTAGTCCTGAATAAGTGTGTGTATCTGAAAATGACTGGCCGCAGACAAAGGAAAATCAGCACCGAGTGGACTCTACATTTGCTCAGTTACTTAGATATTGCAACACAGGAATAAACCTTTGCCTCCAAATACAGTATAAGTAAAGGCAGAGATTCATTTTTAACTTTTTAAGGCCATTTAGGGTACACTGCACCTATTACATTCATAAGAGTCTTGGATCACAAAGAAATCTTTGGGGAAAAAAATGAAAGAAAGGATCTAAATTTAACACTGTCAGGAATTGACATTTTAAAGGCTTAAAAATCCTTCACTGAATAAAAGAGACGATTCTTTTGGCTAACCAAAGCTTTACCACATAATGAAATAAAACTGGTAACACTAGAGAATAAAATTAACAAGGCAAATGACTCAATACCTTTCCATCAACAGGAACACCCAGTTCCTCTGAAAACAGGGGATGAGTTATCCATTTGTAAGCTTCTTTTAGCTGAATTATATCATTTCTTTCCAGAGACAAATTCTGCTTTCTGAAGAACATAAAAATTCACTGACATTGAAAGTCCACTTTTTCTCTTAAAGAATTTATGCAATTATTAAAAATTACTGATCAGGTGCCTATGATGTGCTAGACACTGTTCTACATACTAGATAAAAAGCAAACAAAAATTCCTCACCTCATGGACCTCATATATCAAGGAGCTACATTTTAAATGACATGTAAGATACTGGATTTTTCTGAATTGCCAGATCCCAGGAGATAGAATGGTGGGTGAGATGATCATTTATTGCTCAGAAACTATAAAGCTGTGCATTACAATAATCACACCCGTATTATTTCTTTTCTTGTTGAACATTGGGGCTTACCGTTGGGAAATCAATGTAAAAAGCTGTACTTTTTTTTCTACACTTCTGAAGAAGAAATATTCAATTCTAAAGTATCATTGTTCTAAAATGCTCATCAATGTAATATCAGATAAATGTTTGAATAAAAAACTGACATTCTCCCCAAATATACACATGAACCAATAAATACGTTTTGGGAAGTCCCTATTATGAGTTCTAGCTTTAGTTTGTAATCTAAAATTGTGATAGGAAGGAACTAAGGTAAGAAGAAAGAAAAATTATTAAAACTGCTCCACTCTGTTGAGAACACTGAGATACCACTAAACAAACTAACAAGCTTGCATCATTCAAATAATTAAAACTTGAAACCAGACAAATGGCTATTTTCAGGGCAGTTTTTTAAAAAGGGAAGGTTAGGACCAACTTGTAAATCATCCCTTTTAAATGTCTAATTTTCACTGATAGTTACTGTAGGCAATATCCATTACAATTTAATTCTTTAAAATCAAAAAGCACTACAGTCTGCAGGCACAAAACAAAAAGTAATTTAGCTAATGGCTAAATTTAATTGACATTTAAAAAACATAAAAATCACTGTTTCTCTACAATTGAAATTTAGATCTACCCATTCAGGATCCAGTTGAGAATGTAACTAGTTACAGGGAGTGCGCTCATATGCTTTGGAATTGTGGCTTAACCAATGGAATACCAAAGTAAGTCCTACAGCTGACAAATAATCAAATTATTTCTCTACATTCAAGAACTTATTCAGACACTGAGCTTCAAAAACTGCTCCTAATTCTCCATGTATCAGAAACATTTTTGAAATTTTAAAAAACTATCATGGTATTGGACCAACAGTTTAAGTATTTAATGATATTTGCACAAAACAGTATCACAGTTGACAGTAAGTAATAACTATATGAGAATGGATTTTAAAGAATAAAATGTCAAATCAGAAAAACCACATGAATAGAAACTATTTTTAAAATTATTTAAACGTTGGCCGGCACTGCGGCTCACTAGGCTAATCCTCTGCCTGCGGCGCCGGCACCCCAGGATCTAGTTCCGATCGGGGCGCCAGATTCTGTCCCGGTTGCTCCTCTTCCAGTCCAGCTCTCTGCTGTGGCCTGGGAAGGCAGTGGAGGATGGCCCAAGTGCTTGGGCCCTGCACCCGCATGGGAGACCAGGAGGAAGCACCTGGCTCCTGGCTTTGGATTGGCGCAGTGCGCCGGCCGTAGCGGCCATTTGCGGCGTGAACCAGCGGAAAAGAAGACCTTTCTCTGTCTCTCACTGTCTAACTCTGCCTGTCAAAAAAAAAAAAAAAAAAAAAAAAAAAAAAAAAAAAGTCTAAATGCTGGAGACTCCAAAGTGTTGCAGCAAAAGCCAACCCCAAAAATAAGTTAAAATATTGCTCAGTACATATTTCAGAACACTGCTGTTTTAAAACCTTCAGTCTTTGAAAGCTATTTAGAGCACGTGATCTAGTTAAAAAGCTTCAGTTATTTTTTTCCCCTCCAGATTAAAGAATCAGAGGATAGGTTAGCAGACAGCTTGGAAATCTTATCCCTATATATGAGAGTTCTTCAAAAATCTGTGGAAAAACAGAATTAAAAGATATAGTTATTTGGGTGTGTGGGGAGCAACTGGGAGCAACTCGGACTAGACTAAGTTACTGGAATTAAGACTTATTCTATGCATCTGCTTTCCCACAATATGGCGCTGAGAAGGGAAACAGCTTCTACACAGCTGCCTCCAGTTCAACCAATAAACTGTGGGACCTGCTCCTGATTGGAGGAGAGCAGCGTACTCGGCGTGTGGGTAGCAGAGTTGGGATTGGTGGAAGAGGACTATAAAGGAGGAGAGAGACAACATGCACCAGGAACATCTATCTGAAGGAACACCTGAGCAGCCCCCGAGAGAGCCGGCCGGCGGTGTGCCGCTCCCCCGCGGAAGTGGGGAATGTGGCAGGGGGAACCGCCCTTCCACGGAGGTGGAAGGGTCGGTAGCCAACCCGGGAAGAACCAGCAGCAAACCCCGGGGAGGGCCGAGCAGACAGAAGAACAGCGCAGGGTCCTGTGTCGTTCCTCCACGAAGACGGGGAGCGACATAATGGTGCCGTGACTCGGATATGAAGCCTGGGCAGGGTTTAGTGTCGTTCCCCCACGAAGACGGGGAGCGACATAATGGTGCCGTGACTCGGATATGAAGCCTAGGCAGGGCTTAGTGTCGTTCCTCCACGAAGAGGGGGAGCGACATAATGGTGCCGAAACCCGGGAAGAACCAGCAGCAAACCCGGAGAGGGCCGAGCAGACGAAAGAACAGCGCAGGGTCCTGTGTCGTTCCTCCACGAAGAGGGGTAGCGACATAATGGTGCCGTGACTCGGATATGAAGCCTAGGCAGGGTTTAGTGTCGTTCCTCCACGAAGAGGGGGAGCGACAGGGGGCAGAAAATTTTCTAAATCCATGCATAGTGGGGGTTTTTGTTGTTGTTATTATGTATGTGTGTTTTCATTTTATTTGAAAAGCAGAGAGACAGAGACAGAGAGATGTTCCATACACTGGTTCACTCTCCAAATGCCTGCAACAGCCAAGGCTGAACTCAATCCAAGTTTCCCACGTCGGTGGCAGAGATCCAAGTGCTTGAGCCATCATCTGCTGCCTCCCAAACTGCACAGTGCAGGAAGGGGTGTGGAAAATGGAGGCAGGATTCCATGCTAGGCACTGTGATAAGGGACACTGGTGTCCCATGTGCTGGATTAACCTGTGTGCCACAACACCCATCTATCTTCCTTCCTGTCTCCCTTCTTTCCTTTTTCTTTTCCTTTCTTTTCATTCATTCAATTACAGAAAAATACTTCCATCTACTGGTTTGCTCCCCTTAATGCCCATAACAGCTGGGGCTGGGTGAGGCTGAAACAGGAGCCCAGAACTCAGTTGGGATCTTCCATGTGCGTGGCAGGGACTCTTGTACTTGAGCCATCACCTACTGCCTCCCAGGTTGTGAATCAGTAGGAAGCTGGAATTGGAAGCAGAACTGGGACTTGAAGACAGGCACTCCAATATTGGATGCAGATGTCCCAACTGTTGTACCAAATACCTACCTGAAAACTTACTTCTTAATTCCATTGCACAAGAACTTTTTGAAGTACTCTTGTATAAGGCAAAAATATAATACTTAAGATGCCAGGTTTTCAATCCTGAAATTCAAATGTGACTAATAACTTTTAAAATACATTTTAGGGTAAATGTTTTCACAAAGGCCCTTAGTCCATACTCATTAATGTAAATTCAGTTCCCAGGGCCAGCAGGGTGGCAGAGTGGGTTACATGGAGGCTTGTGATGCTGGCATCCCATACCTGAGTGCTGGTTCAAGTCCCAGCTGCTATGCTTCTCAACTAGCTTCCTACTAAGGCTTCTAGGAAGCAGCAGATGATGGTCCAAGTTCTTGAGCCCCTGCCACCCCCATGAGAGAGCTAGATCAAGTTCCTGGCTCCTGGCTGTGGACTGGTCCAGCCCTGGCTGTTGTGGCCATCTGGAGAGTGAACTAGCAGATGGAAAGTCTTTGTCTCTCCCATTCTCTCTGATGCTCTGCCTTCCAAATAAATAAAATTAAATCTGTAGGGGAAAAAAAAAAGGACGCTCTTACTACACTTTCAGATTTCTAAAAACATAGGATCAAATTTTATTGTGCCAGAATCATAAATATTTGAGATGCCTAGATAAATCTCCAAAACCTTTGATAAGTAATTATTACTTTTTAAACAAAACAAAACAAAACAAAAAACTCATGTTAATTTTTCTATAAATCACTTAAAGTATGAGATTATGATATAAAAATGTGTATTTCTCTCTGGGTCCTCTCTCCAGATAACACAGGGAGCCTCCAACAAACCACATAGCCCTTTTCATATTGATACAGACTTTTTAATTTCAAAATTCATGAAGTTCTAGTGAATGAAAAGTTGTTTGCTTTTTTAACTCAGTTGGCAACCAAATCCTGGTCTGAACAGGTGAGGCTATTATCTGTTTATCAAACGTAGTATGAATATTCTTGTTTCATTGCAGAAATATTAAAATGTTTGCCTACACAGCACCACCTCGGACCCTTGAGCACAGGAACATGTAACATATGACAGTTAATGCCATGCTACATTCCTACATTCCAAAAATTCTAGGTTTAAAACACATTTGGTGTTTAAAGGTTTCAGATAAAAGATGGCAAACCTATGTTATCTATGTGATATCTATGTATGAACTCACTGATTTTCTGCCTTAACTAAGATTTTTTTTTATTTTTAGTGGATTAACTAAGACTTTACTTTTTATCTTTCAGAGCACAGTTTTACAATTTAATTTCTAAGACCAGTGTAAAATTAACTCTTTTCAGATAACTTCCCAAATAGTACTCTATTGTGCCTAAAGCGTATAAAATGTTCACATCACATCTATACATGGAAAAGGAATCTGCTTTAAGAGATTACTACACTGCCATGCTAGTAAACTAAACAGTACTGACACCCTAAATTTCTACATTAAGAACTATTTTTCCCCACCAATTTCTCTAGTAGCTGGTGAATTCAGTTTTAAAGAGAGGAGAGTAGGAGCAGCCACAGCAGTAGTCGCAGCAGTCATAGCACTTCAAGAATCAGGCGGCTTGTCTCTAAGTGGCAGTGAGAATTCCCTGCCGAGATTACTTACCCCATTTCCTGTTTTACCAGCAACCATGCAGCATGCTGCAGGCAACGTAGTCACACCCAGAGAGAAAAGAAAAAGGGGGAAATGTTCAGTGAGATGAGGTTCCAGCATCATTACTGAACTACTTACCTAATTTGCTAATCAAACTCCCCTTTTTTGGAGGGGAGTTCGGTTTAGAACTGTAGCAGTAATGTCAGTCTCATTTAAAATCATGAATGAGGTAAGATTTCACTTAGCAATGCTGGCCTGCTGTGGCCTAGGAATTCAACAGGGGTATCCCCCTCCTCCCTACTGATTTTTATTTCTCATGATGAGGATGAGTGTAAGTTTCTTAGCATAGGGAGCTTACATTTTGTCTTAAAACACTGTGTTATTTCATGTGGGGAAAGCCCAAAATGACCAGGCACATAATCTCCAAAACACAGAATTGCAGGCCCATTTTTTGTTTTTGTTTTTTCATCAGTGCTAACACATATTTTCACTCTATCTATTTGATGATATCTATACCTCGATGTTCAAGAGTAAGGTGTAGCAATGTCTGCAACTCACTTGGAAAAACACCAAAAACTAAGATGAAGTGATGAGTGGAAAAAAGGATGGCTGGATATATAAAAAAGCAAGTACAGAAAAACAGTAACGACTGTAGAATCAAAGTGTGTATACCAGTGTTTACTGACAATAATTTCAACTTTTCTAAGCACTGGAAAATTCTCATAGTAAAATTTTAGGAAAAACGTTCTGGAAAGGGTTAATTTTAAAAAACTGAAAGATAAGTTGCTAACGTGAAGATAGCATTCACAATCATGGATGTTATATAATTAAATCTGATTCATGTAAAATGCTTTGCCTGGTAGGTGTGTGACACCAAGATTTCTCAGTTTTTCATTAGACTCCCCTAGCTTTCACTTTAACAAAAGGCAAATGCCATGTCCTGCACCGTGGTATGTGGCATCCGGTGAACATAACAGGAACATACCATATAAATCAGTAACATCCCGTAAATAGCTCCTGTCTCTACATGTCACAAAATTGGCCATCATTATCACCCACATACCTTCAAAACAATACATGTATACGTTGCGGTTCATACATAGAGCCATGTCCTTTTAAATAAATGGGAATTCCTTCAAATGACAAGCAGGATGCTACAAACTTGTAAAGACTATAATCATTCAGGAACGTTAGGTACACTAATATATTCAGACTTGAGCCAAGTAGAAAAACTAATCACCAGGTAGGTAAGACCTGGTCCCAGTGCCTGAATGTCTTGGCAGTACCTCCCAATTTGTTGGGTTGTTAACTTAGAGCACTCAATCTAATATCATTTAAAGTACTACCATCTTCCCTCTCAGGTATTCAAGCTCTGTTTCAAACTGTTTGGGTACAGTATAGTACACAAATTACTAGGAATCAGAAAACCTGACTTTAGGCTTTCTGTATTTCCTACGACTTCATTTCCTAATGTGTAAAACAGGAGAATTGAACTAAGATGATGGTAATCTTAACTTTTCTGAATGGTTGGAAGTGATCATTAGTAGGCATTAATTAGTATACAATGTTCTAATTATAGGACTTTGAAATTACAGAAAAAAATGAATAATGGCTGCTTAAAAATGAAACCTTATAGTCAATGTTGTCCCACCCTTCCTTCAGGCTCCTACTTTAAGAGATCAAAAAACAGTAATGACCTTATCTATATAGGTATTAACATGGTCATCCATCCATGTCTGTGGGGAACTGGTTCCAGGCCCTCTCCACTCCCCTGCGTGTAGATACCAAAATCAACAAACACTCAAGTGCCTTATATAAAATGGCATAGTGTTTGCATATAATGTATGCACATCCTCACCCCCCCCCCTTTTTTTTTTTGAGAAACAGAGAGGGAAAGAGAGCTCCCATCCACTGGTGCACTCCCCAGATACTCTTACCAGCTAGCCAGGAGCCAAGAACCCAATCCATGTCTCTCATGTGAGTGGCAGGAACTCCAGTACTTGAGCCATCACCACTATCTCTCAGGGTTTGCATTAGCAGAGTCAGGAACCAGAGCCAAACATCAAACCCAGTATTCTGATTTGGCATACAGATGTCTTTGCTGTCTGAACCACTAAAGACCTGCCCCCTCCCATATACTTTAAATCATCTCTAGATTACTTATAATACCTAATACAATGTCAATTCTATATAAATAGCAGTTATGCTATACTGTTAATGAATGGCAACAAAGAAAGTCTGTACATGTTTAGTACACAATTTTTTTTTTCAAATATTTTTGCTTAGTAGTTGACTGAGTCTGCAGATAAAGAACTGAGTGTACTTCCCACGGATGGACATGAAATGGAAGATTTCATGAAAATGTGTATACAGAACCAAGTAACTAACGTTCCTGTCATGTACTTGGTAAATGGTACCTGTTGTTGCTGAATTGAAACCGTATATATAATTTGCAAATAATAAAATTCAAATTTATCCCTTAAACGATTTATAGGACTTGGTCCCATTTCCTCATATCCCCAAACTGCTCTGCTATAGGTAGTTCTTGAACCTTTCTCATCCACGAGATCTGAGCTATAGAGAACCATCTGTTTCTTCTTGAAGGGTCCTCAGACTCTTCTGTCCTTTTCTGTCATTTTTCGTCTCTTTTTGAGGCAGACTCTGTTCACTATGGTCACTTGCAGGTGATGCAATCAAATATGCAATGCATTCTACCATCCTCTGCTTACAAAGCAGGGTGGAACTGGAGGTTACCAGGGGAAACCAGAGAACCATGTGTAACATGTGAAATTCAATCAACTGTCTTCCGTACCTGAGACTTGCTAAAGGGTTTTTCCTTCCTAATTCCTGGCAGGTTCCCTGTGCAAGCAAACCAGCAGGTTGGACAGAACTAATCACACAGCAGGGGCCAGAAGGCTGAATCCCAGAGAACTCAGTAGTGCTCAATTATTCAATTTTTACCACATGTTAATAAGGCCCTGGACCTGCTACTGCCAAGGAAAAAGAAGTACATTTCTCCCTTTTAGGTCACCAGGATAATTTTAATAAATGTTCTGCTCCTTAGTCAGTGAGAAAAAAAAATGTTCTCTAGAGTAAGCAATTAAATTCTTCCTCCCCAATAGAACCAAATGGCATTAAAGTTATCAACTTTAATCAAATTTGATACCAGAGGCAGTGTGTCACCTCCTGAAAATTCTGGAACCACACAATTTAATCCTGGGCTCTTTATTCAAGAATTCCAAGCTAGTCCTAAATAGGGCAGTTGAATACCTGCTGGCTGAAGTGCTGTATACTCCGGTAACACACACACCCCACAGACAAGGTCTGTGCCTAGGAATGGCTCTTGAGCTTTTGAGTTCTGAGCTGGAAGTTCATGTAACACCAAACAACGAGTGGGTGAACATGCGGCCAGGGATTAAGACTGCTTCAAGCAAAGGCAGCAGGAAGGACAGAGAGAAAGGCATTATAAAGATCATACTGGGGGCCGGTGCCGCGGCTCACTAGGCTAATCCTCCGCCTTGTGGCGCCGGCACACTAGGTTCTAGTCCCGGTCGGGGCACCGGATTCTGTCCCAGTTGCCCCTCTTCCAGGCCAGCTCTCTGCTGTGGCCCGGGAAGGCAGTGGAGGATGGCCCAAGTGCTTGGGCCCTGCACCCCATGGGAGACCAGGAGAAGTACCTGGCTCCTGCCATCGGATCAGCGCAGCGCGCAGGCCGCAGCGGCCATTGGAGGGTGAACCAACGGCAAAAGGAAGACCTTTCTCTCTGTCTCTCTCTCTGTCCACTCTGCCTGTCAAAAAAAATCATACTGGGAACTACGATTCACTCGAGTTGGAGCTCAGGGTATGTGTGTGTGTGTGTCTGCGTGAGTGTATCAATGACAGTAGGGGTTCGATGATTACAGACTAAACTAGAAGGATTAGAAGGTTTTGAGTGCCAAACTAGGACATGAACCCAAAGATGGAAGCCACACTGATGTATATACCAAGTCCCACAGTCGCACGGAGAAGAGCCATTTGATCTTTGGACCTTCTATAGTTCCTCAAGTCACAATATAACTGCTATTTTCATGCTAGTGTTTTTCTTATGTGGTAGGTAAAAAGGAAAACATTCCTTTATCAGGAAAATATAGTGTGAAAAAGCTGTATGTTCCAGAAAGGTGAGATAACGTGCCCAGATCACTTTTCTCCTTTTGTTGCCTATCCGGTCCTTACAGACAGCTAAGTGTGTCATTCTTGATAGAGAGAAAGAAACACTAGGCGGCCATAGCAGGCTATGCTTCCAAATATTTTGCAACTGCTTGCAAGGTGGTTTATCTCTTGGTTCCTCAACCAAATATAAAGGAATTCAACACTTCATTATTTGGGCATACCTACTATGTGGTGAGTGCAAGCAAAGTGAAGGCCAGTCTCTACTCATGAGCAAAGCATGAACTAAGAAAGAAAAAAGATACTTCAAATAACAATAAACAGTAGTAGTATTACTAATAACATCAGTGAAAATAATTAATAGAGGTTGTGCCAGGGATATGCTGACCTGATCTTGTCAGTCTTGCCGCAGAAGTGACAACTAATCTGACCTTTGAAGCATCAGTTACTTAGAAGCAGAGGTCGGACAGTGCTAGGAGGACCCCACGAGCTGGCGAATGCAAAGGAGGAAGCAGCACACCCACACTAAGGGGTGTGGATTTTATACTTAGGGCACAAACGGGTTATCAGCAATGGAATGGTGTGGTCACAGTTCTCTTCAGGAATCCTTACTCTGTCCTCAGTGTGAGTTAGCAGAAGAAGGAACTAAGGAAAACAAAGGCATTTGATAAACTACAGCAGTAATTCAAACAAGAAATAAAAGAGAATGGCAGGGCTGGTGAGTGGGGGCAGCAATCCTACGAGACAAGGACACAGACTGGCAGTGATGTTGAGCTGCCAAATAACCATCAATGCTCTTCAAACTCTAAAGTCTTCTGAATGCTTCACAGCTCTTGGACTCATATATAGACTTGTACCAACAGACTTGTGCCAATAGGGAAAAGACAGTAGTCGCCTGAGC